GTATTTAAAATAAAGAACATTGTCGTTGGTCAAGAAACAAAAGCAACTGAAGTCATTGAAATACAGCAGAGGCTGCAAAAGGCATGTTTAAAAGAGTAAAGTGTCCCTTTCACAATTTTTCGTTTCGAAAGATATTGGAAAAGACATTCAAAAAACGAGAGCAGGCTTTGCCTCATCCTCTTCATCCCATGTTTTTTATAAAGACAACAACCTTTAAAATTGGATCTAATCTCAGGACCGCATCAAAAATCCTAATTGTGGGATAAATATTCATGATATACGTCTTCCTAAAGGATTATTTATACATAATATATATCGCTACAGTATGACCTAAACATAAAATCTGAATATAAAACCCCCAAATTACGCGGTCTAGCTATTGCTCTGTTTGATTTAGCTTTGACTGTCATTGTATGATGGTAAGGAAATTTTCAGGACAACACGTTTTCATTTCAAGTTTTGCGCTTAGAGCACTCGGGCAAAAAATATGAGTCGCAGTGTACTAATACCTTGTATCAAACTTGAGTGATCGCAACCATTCTGTTTTGGCTGCAAATGGTCCTGGGAGGTAATCACATACCACACATTCATTAAAGGACCTATAATATCCTGCAGTGTACTTAGCAGTCCAGAAGTCGAAGGATAACTGTCGACATCCAAGTTCCCAATGTCCAGCTAAATTCCGATAACTTTACCTTGCCACTGATATGTCATCACGATAGCTTAAAACTCGCAGAATTCGATACAAATCAATATCATCATAAAAGTGAGATAAGGTGCTATTAATAAAGTGATATTAATCCGGGTTTTACCCCGAGAAAACAAAAGAGGTCCAATTAGCTTATTTTATTGTTTCATTGTTCTATTGTATTGTTCTCTATAATTTATGAATATATGCAAAAAATTTTTCGTCGCTTTACCTAGCAAACTAAAACTCTTATTCCCCTTATTTTGGGAAAAAATAACTGAAAAAGTAATAAAGCTAACTTGATAAAATTTTCATAGTAGACTTTAAAGACAATTGGGTCGGACGTGAACCTAAAAGTGTTGTATTTCGTTCAACAACAACAACAACAACAATTTATTATACTCAAGAATCGCATACATAATCATTACAAATAAATATTACATAGAAAGAGTACACGCTACCTAAAATAACCATAAGGGCTAGCAGAGTTTGGCAGCTATAATGCACAGTATTACGATTTTAGTGATAGAAATATTTAAATGATAGTCGATACATGATTTCCAAACAGACAAACAAAACAGAACGTTACACAAACAGGACAAAGCACAAAGAAAGAAAACAAAACAAAACAAAAATAAAACACTTGAATAATAAATAACATACTAGTCCTATTCGTAAATAAATAATCTAACTAGTATAATTTTCTAATAGTCTTTTGTATAATCACATTTAATTTTTGTTTTAAATTTCCAGATCGATAGGATTTTAGTATCATCACTAATAGAGTTCCACAATTTTGGTCCCAGAAATCTGATATTAAAAATCCCATAATTTGTTCTAACTTTAGGTAAGGAATAAGATATTTTAGAAGAAAATCGAGTGTTATAATTATGTATCTCGCTCACACGCGTAAAAAATGTGTCAAAAGCAGTTGGCAATAAATTGTTATGAAACTTATACATAAATACTACATTATGAAGGGCGAATAGATCATATAACTTGACTATATTCATTTGTTTAAAAAGTGGACTAGAATGTTCGTCAAAATTTGAAAAAGTCATTATTCGTATAGCCTTCTTTTGAAGAATAAACAAAGGCTGGAGAGTAGTATTATATGCATTACCCCATGAGATTATTCCATAGATTAGGAACGGATAAATCAAAGCATAATATAGTTTAATTAAAATATGCAAGCTTACAAAATATCGAAGTTTGGAAAGTATACCAACATTTCTCTTAACTTTTTTAATAATATTGTTTACTTGATTTTTCCAATTTAAATTGGAATCTATCAAGATTCCCAAATATTTAATAAAATGCTCCCGCTTTAATTTATGATTGAAGATAAATAGTTCGAAATTGGCTGGTAACTTTCGTTGTGGAGGGTGAAAAACAACAAAATTTGACTTTTTAACATTTAATGAAAGCTTGTTTGCGAACCACCAATTATGCACTTTAATCAATTCACTTTTTAAAGTAATTTCAAGAGCTGTTAGGTTTTTGTGCTTATAAAACAAGTTAGCATCATCAGCAAACAAATGAAAATCCAAAAATTCAGAACAGCAATTGAAATAATTGATGTATAATAGGAAGAGTAATGGACTCAGTACAGATCCTTGTGGAACACCACAATCAACGGATTGTACGTCAGATGTAACATCTCCCAAAGAAACAGATTGATATCTATTGCTAAGATAAGAAACAAACCAATCATTTGCTATTCCTCGAATACCATAGTATTCTAATTTTTGAATAAGAATTTCATGATTAACAGTATCGAAAGCCTTACTCAAATCCAAAAAAATACCACACGAAACATCGCGATTATCAATTGCATGTTGGATTTTATCAATAATATTAAGAATTGCATGATCAGTAGAATGTCTTGCACGAAATCCGAACTGCATGTTATCTATAATATTCTCTTTTTCTATGAAAGCAAACAATCTTTTATACATTAATGTTTCTAAAAGTTTATTAAAATTTGAAAGAAGAGATATAGGACGATAATTAGTTATATCAGTTTGTAGGCCTTTTTTAATACAGGAACTACTTTTGCCATTTTAAGACTATTTGGTACTATTCCAGTAGTAAATGTACTATTAAAAATAAGTTCCAACGGCTTTGATAGTACACTCTTAAGAGATTTTAAAACAATCGTTGGTATACTATAAGGGCCAGTAGATTTCTTAATATTTAGTCGTGATATTTCGTGTTCAATCTCTATGGATGTGGTAGGATAAAGATAGAAACTGTTTAATAAGGGTTTAGTTAAATAATCGGATGGACATCTATTCACCTTGGGAATAGCGCATGATAAATTATTTCCAATATTAGCAAAATAATCATTAAAAGCATTTGCAATAGACTTAGGATCACATATTTCAGAATTATTTAAAATTAGTTTAGTTGGCTTGGATACGGTTTGCGGCTTAAGGATTAACAAGTCGTCTTATACCTTTCCATATACGCCTAGAATCGGACATATTAACATTAAAATAATCATTGTAATATTGCCTTTTACTAAGTTTTAATAAATGATTTATTTTATTACGATAAAGCTTAAATTTAGCATAATAATAAGCCGTTTTAGTTTTTAGGTACTTCTTATATATTCTATTCTTTTCCTGTATGGAAGCCCTAATTGCAGGAGTTATCCAAGGCTTATTTTTTATTTTCAATTCTCGTTTAGATAATTTCTTAATAGGAATATGTGAATCGATTATTTCAGAAAGCTAGGTATAAAACAGATCAAACATTTGACTAGTGTTGGAATAACCACTTATCATTTGTTCCCAATCAAAAGATTGAATTTCTGCATTCAAAAGTTGCTCATCAATATGAGAAAAATCTCTCTTATAAATGTTGGTATTTTTTTTATTAATAGAAATTTTAGTAATAATCAAGAAATTAGGCAAATGATCAGTTAAGTCATAAATAATGTTGCCACTTAAGGTGGAGTGATCTAATGAGTTAAAAAATATGTTATTAATAAGCGTACTTGAATGATCGGTAATTCTAGTTGGTTTTAAAATAAATGGTTGAAAACAAAACAGATTGAGAGTGTTAAGGAAATTATCAGTATCATGGTGTGTTTCAAACTTTAAAAGATCCAAATTAAAGTCACCCATCATAATACAATACTTATTTTCTCTATGAATCTTATCTGTAATTTTATTCAAATATTCCATAAAATTTTGAATATTTCCATTAGGGTGTCTATAAATCACACCACACACAATATTAGATTGCAACTCATTATCAATTTCTATCCACAAAGTCTCAAAGTCATTTGTGGTGACACTATCATTAGACCTTATTTTAAATTTTAAATTTTCTTCAATGTAAAAACCCACACCTCCAGCATTAGAATTACTTAGTTGAGACGTAAAGATGTACCCAGGTAGAGTTATGTTAGAGTTAAACTCTTGATTAACTTTAATTTTAATTTCAGTAAGCCCCACAAGAGAAAAAGGAAAGTATAAATCATGTAGCATACTGTGAAAATTATCGAAATTAGCTGCCAAACTTCTAATATTGCAATGTAATACAGAGTAAAAGACGACTGTTTATTTCAGATAGATCGTAGAAGTTTTATCTTTATAGTTTGTAAAATGCTTTATTAGAGGTTCAGTACGTCAGGCTCCGGAGGCTCCGAGGCAAAAATATTTAGAACTAAATAAAACCAATTCCGCCGTTCTAGCGTTAAAACCCAGTTTGTTATCTTTATTACAAAATTTGTCAATTTTAAACCTCTAACCTTTTTATGCAATGTTTATTTCTCTCATCCATTATTTTTATTTATATAAAGAAATGCATCATCCAATTGGACGAAAGTTTTCGAGCACTGCAACATGTCCCACAAATATCACTTTGAAGCTTTTATAGAGTCGACTGCAATCACTGCATGATTTCAATAATCGAAAAACATCATTCGACGTTTAGTGTTTGGGGATTTCTTTTCTTTTGCTGTTTTGAAGGTTTAGCTATAGTGAAGTTTTAAATAAGTCTATATGACTATAACTGCATGCAACGTTATGCAGCAGGTAAACGTTGATTTCATTTCACCCTTACGACTGTGTTTGTTTGCGAAAAATGTGAAGCATCAGCTATTATAGTAAGGAGATGGATCTGGCAAGCTCAGGAAAAAAATTTGCTTCGTTTGAAATGGCAAGAGGTTGCTGCATACAAGTATTTCTAGTAAAACAACTATATCACGAGCTCGAGTCGTATATGAGCTGATAGCCGGCCATATTTGTTTTTAAATATGATTACAAAAGATCGTCCACCACATCTAATAATTCAACTGTGATTTATTTATTCCTAATTTTGATTAAACATTAACATCTATGTATACACGGAAGTGAATAAAAAATACATACTGTATAAAAGTAGTAATATTACGTGAAATCAATAATCTAAGTATGTACTTTATGTGAGTGCATATAGATAATTAAATTTAGGGACAAATGTTTATGATGTGCATAAAATCGCAATACATTTTCATAGGCCTTATTTCAAAAAGTATGTTTACTCGTTGCCTGCATAATAATGTTCCATGGCAGGATATGTCGTGTAGACGGGAGAAGTGACAGTCTCTGGCATTGATTGCAATTCTGTCTCAAATTGCGAATGATGTTTCTCACCATACATTTCTGAACACATGCTAATAAAAAAAATATTAAATTGAGTTAATTTTCGCTACCTATATGCATTCATAAGTATTATTCAATGAGGTATGCAAAATTAATCTTCATTGCTCAATTGTTTTACGTGCGAGATTATGCAGATTTATAACATAGCTATAGCCAGGCTGAACTAACTAGCTATATGGAACACAGAAAAGCCAAGCGAAATGTAACAATTATCATGAATCTAACAACATTCGATAAGATTTGCTTACGATTTTTTATTTCAAATGTGAAAATAATAAAAAGCAAAGCAATTTATTTATGATTTCTCGATCTGGAGGTAGACGTGATAGGCATTGACAGTGGACAGCAAAAATTGAATATTAAATTTTTCATTTCATATGACTTTTCAAAATTTTAAGGAATTCTATTATCTATATGCCTTTTTCCCCAACTGTAAATTGGAATGAAATGCTTTCGCTCTTTGTGCTACTACTTAGAAGAACAGCAACAATTATCTCCAGGCGCATGATTACTCAGGTTTGTCAAGGTACCTCATGACGTCATGATCTCAGATCGGCTGCCCTTGTATACGTGGCTACCAAACTTAGCTGCAATTGGTTTGCCACAGTTTGAGATATGAGATACGGCGAAGTAGAATAAAAAACCTGTTCTTCATGAACAATTATCGAGGATCAATACAACAACACCTGTTTATTAATTGACATTATAATTCTATAACATTCTCGTGCACAGTGTTATGGTATTTATTTCGAGTGTTGAGAATAATATCGAACAAGTGAGCGCCGCGAACGAGAAATAAATTTCGTATTTCAAAGCATCCATTTATTTTTGTTTTTATTGTATAATATAAATCTGTTAATATATAAAGTTCTTCACCCCAATGCGCGTACACCTGATTCCTGATATAGGTGGATATTAAAAACCGTCCTTGATGAACAATTAACGGGCATCAATAGAATTTTTTTTCAACGACGAAAAGTAAAAATCTCAGTGCAACAAGTGTAAATGTGGCTTACCTAAATCCAGCGATGAGAACCAGAATAATGGCGATCGTAAAACACAGTGTACTCCATAAAATGACTGCGATCGTCAAATTCCTGACGATATTGACATCATCTTTGTCAACCGCAATGGCTACTAAAATGAGTTACGAATTAAAATCTAATCAACTTAAGTTGATTGGCGACACCGGTAAATTATGAGGGGCGTATTTTTACAAGCTAGTTTTAGGATAGGTTTATCATATATGATTTTTGATATTAATGATATATTAAAAAGAATTAACAGCTTCTGATTAGCTAACAGCCACGTTTGAAATCATCATGTTCAAATTGTACATGGCCTCGCAAATGATACGTTGATGAAAGGCGAATTTTACCTTTGATACTTTTGAAATGACGTCATCGTCTCAAAAACAAAAGCGGGTGAATGAATTTGCAATTTTCATTTAAACACGAAAGCAAATGAACGAGTTTTATTATCGTAAACATTCATCTATTAATTTGTATAAGTTTTGCTCATTTCTGAATATTTCAAGGATATTTTTTTGGATATTTCTAACTGAAATTTGTCCTGGATAATTCAAGGACATTTTGTCTTGGATATTTCAAAAGCATTTTATGTCCTGGATATTCTAGGAAATTTTATGTGTATTAAAATTAAGGCTTAAACGTGGGATTTTAGCGATAAATTCTCGCCTTCTGGCAAATTTGCACTAAAGGCATTAGAAATGCATAATTTTGAGACAAATAGAATATTTAACCATATAGCAGAACGTGTTTATGCTTACCAAGACAGCTTCCGTTACTTTTTTCATATCCAGAAAGACAAACACATTCATAACTTGTGTTTGTGTTCATACATAGTGAGTTGTTACCACAATCAGGAGTATGGATACTATTTTGTAAATTGCATTCATCATAATCTGTGAAGAAAAAACAAGGCCGTAAAAAGACTGTACGTATATCTTCTTTAAGGTATAGTGATATGTTATATAATTAAAATAAAATAATCATACGGTAATTAATAAAGACTAGTGTAAAAAATGTTGATGCACACTTCTAAGTTTCCACATTATGAATTATGATTTATTTCTTTTACACCGCTTTCTATTGCCATCCTATGTCTTGTTTCTTCTCGTTTTATTTTGAAACAAGTTTATGAAAAAGCTTTTACAAAAGAGTTCACGAAATGGCAGTTAAATTGCTGACGACTTTAAAAACATTCAACAAAATAAAATACGAAAAGTTATTTTTGGCAAACATATCGATAAACTATATATACAAATACAAAGTTCCCATGCCCTAAGCAACCAGACGTCTGCCAGTAAAAATTTAAAATCCAGAATAAACAAAACGTTTAGTCGTTTAGTTGCTCATGCAATTTTCTCAGTTCACAGATACAAAATACACCGCGTCTCTTTGTCAAATAAGTGTAACCACATGTATATGATGTAAAAATTTTTATCCTCCAATTATTTTAGTAAATAGTAAATAATAGTAAATAATCTATATGTTAGCTATATATAAAACTGCACGTATTATTTCTATGCATGATGGGATGCCACGACGCGTAAATCGATCCTACCATCCAATATGATAATATGTATTTACGTAAGAGATGTCTATACATTAACAACAAAGCTTCGTTTCCTCCTAAGCTCCTAGCTTTTTGTTCGATGAAAATACCGTCGAAATTATACCTGTGCTTAGTTGAATGCTTGTAATGCACAACACAAGTTTATAAATTGCGGATTATATATATTCTTGAGGATTTACTCCATTTTACCCGTCGGGAATAATGTTTTAATCGTCATGCACCCCGAGGTTCGTTGTTTCTACCCATCGTCATCTGGGGGTATTTCCCTTTAAACAAAGCCCACACACCACAGAGAGCAATGTTTGAAATTTTAAAAGCCCCAGGCAAGGGTACTAATTCCGGCCGGGGAATTTAAATGCAAATGCTAAATTGAAGTAATCCGTCATTATGTCATGGACGCTGGACGTGTTTCGCATGCGCGAGTTTAAGACGAGTTGAGACTGGTGACCAGCAAACGTTTGGAAACGTGCTATTAATTGGCTAAAATAAAATATCGGTTTGCGTCAACATAACTGATATTTTGAATTTTTTTACGAAAGAATATTTTTTACTTGGATGATCTTGAAAATTTACCATAAATTGACTCGTAAAATTTATTAAAAGAGAATGTAAATGATGCCTTCGGATAGAAAAACTTTGATGCAAATTGATGGTAAAAATGTACGATTCTAAAAGTGAAAGAACGAAATAAAATTTCACAAGTACAGTACTACACAGTTTTTAGATACTGCATGATAAATCATTTGTTCTTACATGTTTTTGAAACGTAAGATTTTTTATTTTAAAGCATGCACGTATTTTGAAAGTTTCATCACATTCATCAATTTTTATCAATTACGTTAAAATTATTTTGATTATTAAGGTGGCTCCCTACAATTTCTTAAAATATTGAAAACTTGTGGTTTTGATTTAAAATTTTAGCACAAGATTTCTTGCTAAGAAGAAGAAATTCCCCAGATATATTAGATATAACAGTCAGAAATTCCCCATAAGCACGACATCATTACCGTTGTTATGGTAACAATTGCGATTCAATATGGCCGACATTTTACATATTCACGCATTTTACTAGAAAACAAGTTCGGTTACCCCAATTTTTTATTTTATAAAAAGTTTTCTTACAAAAAAATGGAAAATTTGAGCCAGTTAAAAAAAATTCTGTAGAGCCAAAGTTATTAAAAATTAAAAAACGTGATTTTTCGTTAAAAAATTTTTTTGGCTTTGTAGAATTTTTTTTAAACTTACTCAAAATTAACTTTTTTTTTCGTAAGAAAACGTTTTATAAAATAAAAAATTAGGGTAACCGAACTTGTTTTCGAGTAAAATGCGTGAATAAGTAAAATGACGGCCATATTGAATCGCCATTGTTACCATAACAACGGTAATGACGTTATACTCAAAGACAATTTTCGACTGTTAGAATGTTGGTTAAGATATGTGGAAAATTTCATTTCGTTTAGCAAAAAAATTCTGCGAAAAATTTCTATCTAAATCATTATTTTTCAATATTCTTAAAACCGTAGGGAGCCACCTCAAAGCATTTATTTTAAAACTAAATCTGGTTAAAAAAAATTGCAGTATTTAAGAACATTCGTAAAACAGTTGTGACATTATTTGAATTTGTGATCATACATAGTTGAATTCTCTACCAAGAATTCGCTATTATAAAATTTCACTGTTGGAAATATTTATATGTTAATTGCCGTAACTAAGGGGATTTTGCATGCATGAAAATATTCGATAACACGTATATAAATATCTTTGCATGGGAGTTACATACCTTTCACACTGAAAAGGCCTTTTACTTCAGTGCGATCTGTGCTGTTGCTGATTTTGAGATCTGCTCCAAGAAATGTGCCGTTTTGTGTGACATTCATTGAATCAACTAATTGTTGCTTAATATTGTCACCGTTTATTCCTGCGGGATCATTGAATGTTGCAACGTAATCAAAACCAACAGATCCTCGGCTGCAATTGTAAAAAAGAGAAAATTAGACTTATCTAAATATATAATGCAAGATTCGTGACTTTACCGCCAGAAACTTTTGTTCTTTACAAATGGCATTTTGATAGTTTCATCGTGATTAATATATTTTCTATCAGTTCTATATGAGGATTAGATTTGAAACAGTATTTGAAACAGTATTTGAAACAGTATTTTTGCTCGGAAAATGTGTTTGACATTCCAAAGTAGAAATTACGATAACAGAATACAATTATTTTTGTGAATGATCTAGGCAAATTCCACGGAAAATGTCTGTGAATCATATAATAATTATAATTATAGCGGTTCGGATTTCGAGTCGTTCGCTAAGGAGGCTACACCATAGAGCTGATGTGTAAATCGCATTGTTGCAATTCAAAATTCACACTAGTGTAATTTTAATCTCTGAGAGTTACTTAAATCTCTGGGGGTTCATAGTCTCCCGCACAGCGTTTGGCGAGGACTGTGTCAGGGGGATTTTTTATTTGTTCGATACACTGAATAGAGATTCGCAAACACGGCGTCTTCACCAAGCCAATAAAAAATTCTTTCGTCAATATAATTATATTGTATATATTATTTTTAAGTTTAACGCGGTTATCAAAGGCTCATGAGCCTTGCAAACACGATGGCTCAAGACCCGTTTACACTATACTCAGTTTATCGGCACGGCACGGCTAAAAGAGTATACCATTGCCCATTTCATTGTTTCCCGGCCTTTGTATTGTCAGCCTGAGCACTAATGAAATGAAACCACCAAAAAAATTGAGTGAATAGTGTAAACAGGGCTTCCGTCAGTTTCTGTAATGAACGAAAACTAAACAAACCAAAAACGCCTAAAGAGAAGTGTATAAAGAGAGGACTGTAGCTATAGAAGCTTAATTTGGGGGGGGGGGTGTATATTCATATATTCGTCTTATGCCCGACTGATTTCCTTTGTACGCTATTGTTTCTTCGATATGTAAACATGAATGCATGAGAATACAGAGTGTCCCAAAACAGTGGCGGATAAAGTCTGAAAAATATGCCGCTAAACTTTTTTGTAAAAGTAAAATTTTGTAAAAGTATTCTTTACAAATTAATGACCATGCAATAGCGTTGTTATTAAGGGGCTGATTACATGGTATTTTTTCAGCCCGGCAAACAGAAGCCAAAGTATTTTTCAATTAGCTACATGGCAAGTTTCAGCCCGGGCTGCGTTATGACACGTCAGAATTATTTTAAAACCAGGCTGAAATTTCAGCTCGGGCTAAGTTTGTAAAGATAGTAGACTTATTTCGATTCTTTGAGCGCTTTCAAATCCAAAATGACAATAACGTGACCTTTAAGGGACTATGACTACACATAGAAATGAAATAAACAAACGAAAAAGCATTCGCAAGGCGAATTTTTCTGTCCGTGTTTAATTTCATTTACGATTACACAACAAAACTAAGTTTCAGCCTGGGCTGAAGTTTCAGTTTAGGATTTTATAACAACCTCGGACTGAAACTCATACAGTCCAAAAAAGCCCGAAACCATCGAAATCACCCGAAACAATGAAATAGTTAGAGTTTGAATGCTTAAATACATAATACCCACAAATGACCTTTTTATCATGTCCCACTTCTCTGGCAAATTGTACATTTTTGTTTATATAGCATTTTTTTATGATTTGCGTTAAATCCCCGCAGGCAGAAATCCGTAGGTCATTCAAATCTTACACGTGAAATTCAAAGAGGTGATTTCAAAAGTTTTGTGGGTTTTTTTGGGACACCCTGTATATGCACCTGTACAGCTACCACGGCGCTGTATAAGAGTTGAGCAAAATCTCAAAGGCTGTTAAAACTTACAATAGGCGTAAAATGATGCATTTCTGAAAGGTGAAACGTAGCCTCGGTGTTCTCGTGTAGAGGTTCGTAAGCTATAGGAAGACAAAATATGAATTATTATACATAATTATGTATATATATATATTATATATGTTTAAAAATTACACCACGAGCTCGAGTCGTATATCTGATATCCGACGTGGTGCGTAGCACATGAGTTGCGAGTTGGCTATCAACCATGCATATATACGACAAATTTGCACAATTTTTCAGAAGGGACGGGCAATCAGTTCACCAAGACATAATTGACATTCCAGGCAAAAAGCACATAAACGATTCATAAATATTTATCAGGATGACGTTCTTGACGTACCTCTATGAGTAACAGTTCAGTAAATTGAAAGTATTCTAAACTTTGTGTATCATTATAGGCGGGTTTGTAGACGCGATTTATAATAACAAACCGACCTTCGACAGAGGCCTGAATATCTAAGAGGAAGAGAAAGCGTGTAAGTTGTGGTTCAATTGAATTAGTTTATGTGGGGTAGGACAGGACATGTATACTGTAAAATTTTAATTGTGTTAATAACAGAGTCATGCATACTGTATGCGTGTACTAAAATGAATGCGAGATGAGTGAATGGGTTGGCAAACACTGTATTATCATACGAAAGCACGAATAATTAGCTAATGACATTTTTACCCAACCAAATTTCGTGAATAAGGTGAAATTCACACCCTGTATACCACATTCAAATTAGATTGACTGTACCGGAAAAATACAACCACTAGTGTTTGTAACTGATTTGCATGTGCATTCAAATCTTATTTATTACAAATTCATTTCACAAGTTGATTACAACACTCTCTAAACCTAGGGGGTATTGCCGATCAATGTCTAGATACATTATGACAACGAAACGATCTTATATTGGAAAACGAAATTTTAAAATACCTGTATAACGTATTAGTACCTGATGTAAGTATGTATTTTCGGTCTAGTAGAGCTTTATTCATATTTAAGTCGTTCATATTCATGCATTGCACCACTCATCCCATTACCCCAAATATAAAGCGACATGGCATAAATGTTTGTTTCTTTTAAATGTACTAACATTAAAAATCACGATTTATTCTGTTTTAAAGATTTCCAGGGATGCAAAGTCAAACTTAAATTTTTCTGTAATCGATCCTGAAATTTTTTTCTCAGAAAAAGTATATAAAAAACGCAAGAAAAAACTATCGAGCCAATCAAACTTCGTTTAACATCAGACTTTCCGCGTTTGATGTCATTATGAAAAAGGTCTATTAAGGCCTATAAGGTCTATAACGTCTATAAGGTCTATAAGGTCTATATTATATTTTACACCGAGCAAACAAAAAGGAGTCAATTGGCGTATTCCATTGTTTCATTGTTCCATTGTATGGTTCTCTATGATTTATGAATATATGCAAAACGTTTTTCGGGGTAACTATAGTGATTGAAGATTCCTACAAGTCTTTTTTCACTCAGAGCAACTTGGCTTGCAATATGGCATGAAAATATTTTTATATTTTTCAAAATAAGAGAAAAAAAATTAAAGACCACCTTACTAGACCACCCTAAGACAGAATTTTTAGTACACAGCTCTGTCAGATTTTTATCCAATGTTTTCTACCTTTTCCAGTATTTTCGTTAACTTTATGGCTTTTGTTAGTACTTACAGGACTGTTTCGTTTCTGTGCAAATAACTTCGCGTGGTTTATTTATTTTTGCAAAATCATTTAGGTGGTTACAAAATCAACCAATATAATTTTCAAAATTCTCAGTACTTGGTAATAAGTACAATTTCAATGATATAAATTGATAAATTTCTTATTTTGTATCCTGAATGGCGATTCTCTAGTTGTATATAGTAGAGTGTTTTTTATTGGTTATGAGCAAGAGTTTAGTTAGAACTCACAAAATGTGTAATTTGTAGAGGTAATCATGTGATGTCGACTACGATTCGGGATTAATAGTACTCGTGATGATTAACTATTTTTTAGGGGTACTAATTCTGCCCAGATATTTTAATTATACCAGGGCATTGTGTCGCACAATATACAGAACCCAAATTTTTTAAATTCTAAATTTATGAACAGTGTATGTTGGATATTAGACAGTCGATGTTTCTGTTGATTAGGCGCATACGCGAAATATAAACAAGGCTGGTGATCAGCAATGCCCTGATTGGCTAGGCTTGTATTGTATTGAGAACACCGGTGTACATATCTCGTTATAAGATAGAGAAACAATCGACCTAAGTTCAGGCAAGTGCAGGTGGCCAGGGTTGCCAACGATGTTAAGCTACATGCACGCGAAACCTACCAGTACATTCTTCATTGATAATTTGCTGTCGTGGACTGGTACAATGGCAACGGTATGCTCCAGGGAAGTTGACACATTCTTGACCTTGACCTGAACATTTTCGCGATGCTCCAACACATTCGTTTATATCTGGAAAGAAAAATATGGAAAATCCGATAGACCTTTCGGTAATTACGTCACAACATTATCGTTTCACCTTAAGTAAATGAGATGGATTTCTCACGAGCCGCGCAATGATACAAAACATCCTTCTTCAACGCATTGACGAAAAATAATTTTTCATTTTGATAAATAAGTATGGAAGTAAGTTATAACTCGAGAACGAGGCTTGCAGTCTTCGCCCCTGAGCCTCTTTCTCATGTTATGGCTTATTTCTACATTTATTTGTCAAAAAACATTTTTCATGCATTTGTCAAAAAGGATGTTTTGCATCTTTGCACGTGGTTTGGGAGAGTAAAAATTTCATTTAAAGTGGATCTAAATTTAAAACTTTGTGACATAATATCTCCAACTAAAAGTTTGAGCAGCTTCAAAGGAATCCTGGTCCCCCAGTTGTTTCGTAAAAACCGGTTAACGCTGACCTATAGCTGGATTTACTGGAATTAAATTTAACCTGTTTTGGAAACCTCCCGCTGCATCTAAATTGAAGGCGATCCGATGGATTTTGATCTTAGGATTTTTGATCTTGAGATTTTTTATCAGAATGCAGTAAGTGCAACTAATCCTAATGAACTGCGCCGATACTCTGCGTCTTCACGTCATTGCAGTCAATTAAAATTGTGATTTATCTAGCGCGAAAATTCATTTTTTCATGCCACTTATTTGCCTCGGGTACGAGGTTGTAATAATCGTTTGGTTTTATTTAAAGAGTAGAATTGAATTAGAGAGACAATAAATAAGCGTATTTATAGAAGTAAATTTCACACCTTCATGTATTATGATTGGATTCCAATCGACCTCAATAGGCCTTTTCAGCTTGCATGCAAGTTAACGCATTTCATACGTTGCGACCATGGAATAACCAAGAAAACTTAACCATTTCAGACCATGTGATTTGAAATGGGTCAATTGCACACAAGCTGAAAAGATCTATTGTTACATGGGATGTACCAAAAATTCTTATTTGCAATAACGTGAAAAAAATTAAAGCTGTTGAACTGGAATAACCCCCCATTGAATGTGAAAAGACATATTAGTCAGGATATCAAATTAAAATTTAGCTTACTTTTATTATTTCTTCATTGCTTCAAGGAAAAATTCATTATTTTCACACTCATTGAACACCAAAATAATATTAGCAATTTGGGAAAAATCATCAGCCGACTAGGGTATAATACGCTACGTACTTGAATACCCTGCCAGGATTTAATACTGGAATTCTACAACGACTGGACTCAAACTTTTGCCCCCTACTGGCTACTGTATACGAAAGGTTTAACAAGATCAAGACATCAAAATCGTTTTGGATAATTTCACATGTGATTTAGGTATGAAGCAAGCACTGTGCGAAAAAAGAAAGACGCCGTTTGCGCTTAGAGTGATGAGGTTTCCCTGAAAAATGCTTTACTATCAAATCGACAAACTAATGCTGAATTTGGAAGAGAATACACTGCAAGACTAGACTGTGCAAAAGCGTGAAATCATAACAATGGTTCCTGATAAATAAAAGTTACAAGAAGCTTTTAATATCCGATAAATTCTAGCGTATTTACTGAAAGCGTATTTATAGCCGGTGGATTAACACTCGGTAAATTTAAAATGGTGCAACCAAGATTTACAACTCATGAGCAGCCAACGCAACTTTACGCGAGCATGCAATGGTCTGGACCATTAGAAATGTTGTAATGAAAAATACCTTCGCATGTTGTTCCATTTCCCGTATAACCTTCATTACAGGTACAATTGAACGAACCAGCGGTGTTTTTACACGTCGCTTGACTGTGACAATTATGCGTTCCAGATATGCATTCGTCTACATCTTCAAAGGTAATAAATAATGAATATTAAACAACCGAGTTAGTTTTCTTTAATGTATGTTCATAAAAATGATATAATAACGCCCATTTAGACTGTAGTTATAATTGTTACTTTTAGTGAAGTATAAATGCCTCTTATGATTAACTTTTAACATCTTAAACGCAAATAGATAATGAATAATCCATGCAAAAACCTCGGTCTAAAATTTTACAGCACAGATTGAACAAGCGAGGTCAATAATCTGTTTATTATATGGCTGAACTGGTCCTGGTACGGAATATACGGACCACGGTCCGAATATGGGTTTTACGGAACGCTCGTCAACCAATCAGAATAGATGATTTTGAACAGCCAGATAATAAATCATGAATATTAAAGTGCCCATACCATTGTGGTAGATTTTGAATACATCAAAAGTTCAAGTTATTTTAAAAAAACTTTAAAATACATTTTGTTATTACTGAAAAATTTTGTCTTGATGGATTTATTAGTCAGGTGAAACAATGCAACAGAAAACTGATTTGCAAACCCCGAATTGAGGTCATGTCCGGTTAACTTTTACGACTAATAAATCCATCAAGATTTTTCTATAACAAAATGTATTGTATTTTTTTATAATGCCTTAAACTTTTTATATATTCAAAATCCACAACATGTTAAAGGCACTTTAAGTGATCGAGTTTGTTTTCTTTAAATAATAACGTCCAACTAGACTGTATAATTCATTATTGTAACTTTCAGTGAAGTATAAATGTTTTTTATGAATAACTGTTAACATTTTAAACGGAAATAAATGTTGACGACTTTCATATGCATATAAGGCAAATTTGCTGGCAAACTGCGTTTAGACAATAGATGAGCAACGAACGGGTGCAATTGTTGTGGGAGCGGTTGCAAAGTTGTATTGTTAATTGCATACCTTCACACATGGTTCCATTTCCTGAATAACCTTCATTGCAGGTACAAGTGAACGACCCAGTGGTATTACTGCACGTTGCCTGACTGTGACAATTATGAGCCCCACCTGTGCATTCGTCAACATCTTCAAAGGCAATAAAGATTGAATATTAAACGACTGAGTTGGTTTACCTTAATGAACGTGCGTTCATATAATAACGTCCAATTAGACATTATAATTAATTTATAATTGTCACTTTTTGAAGTATAAATGCTTTTTATTAATAACTATTAATGGTTATTATCTTGCTGAGCATAATTTATAGTATAATTATAGGTGTGCCAAAGACAGCGTTACATGCCTGCCTGTTAGTGGTCTCGTCCTATTCCAGAATTTTAGATTTTAAATTTACAGCAAAATTAAGACGAAATTGTAATGCAAACTACGTACCTTTGCACGTGGTTCCATCTCCTGTATAACCTTGATTACAGGTACAAGTGAACGAACCAGTGGTGTTTTTACATGTTGCTTGGCTGTGACAATTATGCGTTCCAGATATGCATTCGTCCACATCTTCAGAGGTAATAAATCATGAAAATTAACAACCGAGTTGGTTTTCTTTAATGTATGTTAATATAATAACACCCATTTAGACTGTAGTTATAATTGTTACTTTAGTGAAGTATAAATGCCTCTTATGATTAACTTTTAACATCTTAAACGTAAATAGATAATGAATAATCCATGCAAAAACCTCGGTCTAAAATTTCACAGCACAGATTGAACAAGCGAGGTCAACAATCTGTTTATTATACGGCTGAACTGGTCCAGGTACGGAGTATACGGACCACGCTCGGAAATGGGTTTTGCGGACCGCTCGTCAACCAATCAGAATGGAGGATTTTTAACAGCCAAATAATGAATTATGAATATTAAACTGCCCATATTTTGTTGTAGATTTTGAATACATCAAAAGTTCAAGTTATTTTAAAAAACATTCCAATACATTTTGTTTTAATTGAAAAAAATTGTCTTGATGGATTTATTAAAGTGCCTATATCGCTTGTGCATGGGATCTTTACGGATTTGAATAGAGCTTGAAAAATTCGTTTATAAGTTCTACAACCCTTTTTAATATAATTAAATAGTTTCGGAAATATTCTTATCTAAACATGACGATTTGCCTAAATTTCCGTCGTAGTCTGGGGCCTGGGACTCAGGAACCGAGTTCTTGTCAAAAATAATATAATCAATTATAATTTTACTTTGATCTTCCAATAGCGTAAATATTTTGGGAAAAACTCGCCCAGTTGCTAGAGCCATACACAACGCACCGTTCTCGCATTTTTTTCTTGAAAAGCGCAAACTATATCGCCAGTGAAACTCTTCATGTTGACATTATAAAAGACGGCGTGTTTGCAAATCATTTCTGAGTCCCAGTCCCCCCAACCGACATATTCTCGAAACTATTTAATTATATCAAAAAGGGTGGTAGAACTTATAAAGTAATTTTTAAAGCTCTATACAATTCCGTAAAGATCCCGCAAGTGATATAGGCACTTTAACCCTTACATTTGCCGGATATGGGTTCAAATCGATGAAACAAAAGAAAACTGATTTGCAATTCCTGATTTGAGTCATGCCGGTTAACTTTTACGGCTAATAAATCCATCAAGATTTTTCTATGACAAAATGTATTGTATTTTTTTATAATGCCTTAAACTATTTATATATTGAAAATCCACAACATGCATGGTATATGCACTTTAAGCAATCAAAGTTGTTTTTTTTTAAATAGTAACGTCCAATTAGACTGTATAAGTCATTATTGTCACTTTCAGTGAAGTATAAATGTCTTTTATGATTAACTGTTAATATTTTAAACGGAAATACAGTAAATGTTGACGACTTGCATACATATAATTTAAATTTGTTGGCAAACCGCGTTTAGACAATAGATGAGCAACGAACGGGTGCAATTGCATGTTGTGGGAGCGGTTGCAAAGTTGTATTGTTAATTGCATACCTTCACACATGGTTCCATTTCCTTTATAACCTTTATTGCAGGTACAATTGAACGACCCAGTGGTATTACTGCAAGTTGCCTGACTGTGACAATTATGAGCCCCAACTGTGCATTCGTCAACATCTTCAAAGGCAATAAAGATTGAATATTAAACGACCGAGTTGGTTTACCTTAATGCACGTGCGTTCATATAATAACGTGCAATTAGACTGTATAATTTATTTATAATTGTCACTTTATGAAGTATAAATGCCTTTTATGGTTAACTATTAATGGTTATTATCTTGCTTAGACGTTTATAGTATAATTATTGTTTTTTTCAAAGACAGTGTTGCATGCCTGTTAGTGGTCTCGTCCGATTCCAGAATTTAGATTTTAAACTTAGAGCAAAATTATAACAAAATTGTAATGCAAACTACGTACCTTTGCACGTGGTTCCATCTCCTGTATAACCTTCATTACAGGTACAAGTGAACGAGCCAGTGGTGTTTTTACACGTTGCGTGTTTGTCACAATTGTCACTACCAAGAGCGCATTCATCAACATCTTTAAAGGTGATAAATGATGAATTTTAAACCACCGCGTCGTCTTTTTCCGAGATACGTGCACATAATAGAGTACATTAAATTGCAATATTGCATAATAATTATTATTGTCTTCTTCAACAGCTTACATATGCCTGTTTGTGGCCAAAGACAGTATTTTGTGCGTGCTCGTCGTGCCTTTCCCAGTCTTTGGATCTTGGAACTTTAGACTCTGTTCCCAAACGACTGATGAATTCACATCATAAGCAGTTAAATAAATGCAAAAGTACGTACCTTTGCACGTGGTTCCATCTCCTGTATAACCTTCATTACAGGTACAAGTAAACGAACCAGTGGTGTTTTTACACGTTGCTTGATTGTCACAGTTGTCAGTGCCAAGTGCGCATTCATCAACATCTTTAAAGGTAATAAATCATGAATATTTGGCAAAAAAGGCGGGCAGTTTCGATGAATGCGTACATTCGAGGCAGCTGCGATTACAAATTGGATAGCAATTGAGAAATAATTGAGAAATAAGAAGGACTGAAAAAGTTTTTGTAATTAAAACGAGTTCCAAATAATTATATGATCTTAGGTTTCTTTTGAATTAAATAAATCTTTATTGCAAATGAAGATAAATTTATAGCTGAAATAAATGTGGACGACTGGCATAGAGATAATGAAAATTTGTTGGAAAACCTCGTTTATGAAATCAGAATTTTTAATTGGGGGACCGTTATCAATTTATATATCCACGTTTATATACCATAGGAACAATAGCGTAGAAAATAAATCAGTCAAGAATAGGTGTAATATATGAATATACATTCCCGGCGCAATTAAGCTTCTAGCTACGGCTCTGTATTCAAGATGATCAACGAACGGCATAATTGTCGTGCCAGTGGTTGCAAAGTTGTATTGTTAATTCCATACCTTCACACATGATTCCATTTCCTGTATAACCTTCATTGCAGGTACAGCTGAACGACCCAGTGGTATCATTGCACGTTGCTTGACTGTGGCAATTGTGAGTCCCAACTGAGCATTCGTCAACATCTTCAAAGGTAATAAAGATTGAACATTTAACGAAGGAGCTGGTTTTCTTTAATGATTAACTGTTAACGGGTTATTAATAATCTTGCTGAGCAGTTTATAATTATTATAGTTGTAAGTGTGCCAAAGCAGCAATGTTGTTAGTGTTGTTCGCATTCTGATTCCAGGAATTTAGATTTTAAATTTAGACCAAAACTATAACAAAATAGTAATGCAAAGCACATACCTTCGCATGCAGTACCATTTCCTGTATAACCGTCGTTACAGGTACAAATGAACGAACCGGTGGTATTACTGCACGTTGCCTTACTGTCGCAATTATGAGTCCCAAGTGCGCATTCGTTAACATCTTCAAAGGTAATATAATTGAAGATTAAATGACCGACACTGTTTAATAACTCGATGTGCATATTATGTTCATAATTATAGCAGTGTCAAATTTCACTGTCGTAATTATGACTGTTGGTTTGAAAATCTCATCAGTGACCATTAATTATAAGTTCAAAGTTTGCATTCGTCAACATCTTCTAAAGTAACAAAGATTGAATATTTAATGCACGCTCATATATTGTAACGTACAAATAGACTGTAGAAGTTATAATCCCTCTTTTTATGAAATAAAAATGTATTTTATGACAAACAAAATAGTAATAGAAAACACATACCTTCGCACGTAGTTCCGTTTCCTGTATACCCTTCATTGCAGAGACAAGTGAACGACCCATTTGTGTTTTTACACGTTGCTTGATTGTCACAGTTGTCCTTGCGAAGTGCGCATTCATCAACATCTTTAAAGGCAATAAATCATGAATATTTGGCGAAGAAGACGGGCAGTTTCGATGAATGCGTACATTCGGTTAAGAGTACTATTTTTGAGCTGCGATTACTAATTGGATAGCGAATGAAAAATATTGGAGAAATAAGAAGGACTGAAGAAATATTGCAGAATATATTATATCATAAAACCATCTATAACATTTCATTCGTAATTTGCATCGCATGAAGTAGCGCACGCATCCATATTTAAAACAGGAAACACTTATGTATAAGCCATATACCATGCAGGTTGGTAAGTCTCGATTTCACTGCATGCAAACAACATTATTAGGAAAAAAATACTTTAAAACAACTTAAATACCTTTCCAAGAACAACTTAGGATGGACACGATTTGCCCTTGATAATTCAATAACACTTTTTTACGGTTCATTGCCATTTTATGTCTTTTAACATAAGCACAATAATGCATTTCCTTCAAATTTAGGATTTTAGCAATAGATTTTTACTTTGTCGCAAATCTGCATTATAAACAATGAAAATGCACAATTTTGAGACAAATAGATATCAAACGTGTTTATGCTTACCATTACAGCCTGTGTTATTTTTTTCATATCCAGAAAGACAAATACATTCATAACTTGTGTTTGTGTTCCTACATAACGCGTTGTTACCACAATCAGGAGTATGGATACTATTTTGTGGATTGCATTCGTCATAATCTGAAAGGAAAAAAAGTATCCCATTTAGCGACCGTAAAAAGAACAAAATGGCGGAAAGTTTTTTGAAAACAAACTAAACATCCCTGGAGGAAATAAAAAAGCCAGAAAGGTAAACAAAAGTTCGCAACAAAGCTGCCAAAGTTGTACGATTTTCTTATGATAGTAATAAACAAGTAATGTTGCTCGTACAATTGGGGATGAACTCTCCCCGACGACTAGTCCTATTTTTGCAAAATTTTTAAATATCACTCATATTTTAATCCCGCGAATTGTAGTCGCTATCGCACGCCTATACTAATTAATAATAATAATTATTGCGCCTAATCCATAATTTGTCTGCTTACGTTTTCGCTACCATGCGCAAGCTTAATTCACAATGGCTTGGGGGCGAGTATTGTAAATCAATATTGCCTCGCCGATATTCTTAAGACTAAGCTATTTTCTCTGCCTGGGCACCAAGTTGAGCAAATAATGAGCGGAATCCCTTCACCAGTGTAAACCTTTTATATGCACGCATGTGCTTATTCTGTTGTGAATATGACATGTCTTTTTGGTCATGATTTTCAAACTAGGAATCCATAGACAGTGCAAAGTTCTAATACCTGAGCAACGTGTCGTCTGTCCCATAATAACAGAATCAGGGTTTTAACTTCTGCCAGTAAAAATCTAAAGAACCCGGTTTAACAAAAACCTGATTGCTGATTCAAGCAGAAAGTTCATTTTCAATATTTCGATTGCTCTTAAAATCATCGTGTAATTTGAACGCTTCATTTACCAGGCTAGATTACAATTGTAATTTCAAATAATTTCGTTCGTTGTATAGTTGCATGTGAATCCAGGACAATCAAATGTACGTTAGGCGCAATGTTGTCATTATTGAATTGTATTTTAGTTGCTCATGCAAAGTGGCAGTTCCACTCACCACAACACTAAAACAATATAAGCAGGGACCCCGGAACGATGCGAGGTGGCAAAGGGGACAGATTTTGGTAAAAAAGCACTCCTGTAGCAATACATAATAAACGAAATATAGAATGTTTGCAAAGCATTGTTTGACCCATTAAACCTCGTGTCATGATTAGACGATTGTGATATTCTTCATACTCGTTCGTGAAACTTCTACTTGAAGCTCTGTTCACACGATCCAATTTTGTTGGATCCCATTCACTTCTGAAAGTCGTTGAATAGTTTGTTCAGTTGACTTGCAATGAATATGGGCAGCAAATACACTGAAGCCAATTCAGTATTGCTTCATCGATAATAGGCTACATCCCATACGTCAAAAGTGAATTGGATCGAACAAAATTGGGTCGTGTGAGGGCACCTTAGCCCCAATTGCCCGGCTGGTAACGGGGGGGGGGAGCTCAGTTGCCCCTGCAAATTTCTTTTTGAATTTACATCAGTTATGTGAAATTATGTATCATGTTCATCTTACTAATTGCTTCAACCTTATTACATCATTCTATAGAAACGCAATATCTTGTAATTTAAAACCATATTAGAAAGATTATATGACATTCTCGAGTTTTTTTCTTAACTTGAGCCTGCCTGACTGCCGCCCGCTATTAATCTTAATACTTTTACATGCACAAACGCCTCTGCGGACGAGGGTAGTTGTTACTGGAAAGTCTTTCAAGACAATAAAAATTCGTTATTGAACGAGCTGGTGTGTCACTCGGCAACCCATTTAGCAATGCTTTTGTTATATGTTAGCGAAAATATTGGATAAAGCGTTAATATTATTATTTGGGAGTTAAATACCTTTCACACTAAATTGGTCTTTTACTTCAGTGAGATTTGTGCTCTCGCTGATTTGGAAATCTGCTCCAAGAAATGTGCCGTTTTGCGTTACATTCATTGACTCGACTAACTCTTCTTGAATATTTTCATTGTTTATTCCAGCGGAATCATTGAATGTTGCAACGTAATCAAAACCAACAGATCCTGGGCTGAAATCGCAAAAAAGAGAAATTAGACTTTACTAGATATACGATGCAAGATTCGTGCACGTCTTATTGTCATCTATTTGTCTCCAGAAACTTTTGTTCCTTACAAATGATACTTTGAAACTCGTGATCTTTTCGCCATTTGCGAAAGTATATTTTGGCGTAGCAAACCTATAGCTGACCTGACGATTTAGTCATGCTATAAAAATTTTATCTTATTATATCATTATTCATTTCTTTAGATATTCATTAATTGCTTTCACAGTCAATCATCACCAAAATATCATCGATTGATATACGGTGTCCCAAAACAGTGGCGGATCAAGGGCAAATCAGAATAATGGTGGATTTCTACTTATAGAGGAAATCCGTTCAAAAAACAGTCTCAAAAGACTTACACACAATGTAATAGTTAGAGTTTGAATACCTACCCAGAAAATTAATGACCTTTAATAACCACATAATTATAATTATACAATATTATACAATATACATCAAATAACGACGCCATCATGGCGCGCATGCGGAAATTTTACGGCTCCTGGAAATTGCTACTTTTTGCCTACATATATGTGGCAACTTGTGGTATATTACATCCAAATACGTGTGATAGATCAAGCATTTCCTTCTGGGAGCAATTATACGTTTGTTTACAAGAAACGAGGGTTAAAATCTCTGAAAAACGATTTAGTCATGCTATAAAAATTTTATCTTATTATATCATTATTCATTTCTTTAGATATTCATTAATTGCTTTCACAGTCAATCATCACCAAAATATCATCGATTGATATACGGTGTCCCAAAACAGTGGCGGATCAAGGGCAAATCAGAATAATGGTGGATTTCTACTTATAGAGGAAATCCGTTCAAAAAACAGTCTCAAAAGACTTACACACAATGTAATAGTTAGAGTTTGAATACCTACCCAGAAAATTAATGACCTTTAATAACCACATAATTATAATTATACAATATTATACAATATACATCAAATAACGACGCCATCATGGCGCGCATGCGGAAATTTTACGGCTCCTGGAAATTGCTACTTTTTGCCTACATATATGTGGCAACTTGTGGTATATTACATCCAAATACGTGTGATAGATCAAGCATTTCCTTCTGGGAGCAATTATACGTTTGTTTACAAGAAACGAGGGTTAAAATCTCTGAAAAACGTTCCAACCGTCGACGAAAAATAAAACAACGACCGTTGCCGAATTATTTGAAACTGGTTACTGGATTGCGCTTTGTGCTCCACGTCTTCTACTCAGTATCTCTTATCCTGTTATCTGGTGATGTCGAACTTAATCCTGGACCCAGTCTTAAGGACGGACTTCTTAAATGTGTTACAATCAATGTTCGGAGTTTAACGAGTTCAGTAAAGATTAGTGGGAACAATAACAGCAGGAACAAGGAGAACAATCTTCAACTTTTCAAAAATTTTGTATACTCAGAAGACTTTGACATTATTTGTGTTAATGAGACTTGGTTGTCTTCAAACGTTTACGACTCAGAAATTCTTCATGCGGGATATACAGTTATCAGGAAAGATCGAGAGACGCGCGGCGGTGGAGTAATGTTGGGGATCAAAACATGCTCATTCACATCTGTGAGGGAAATTGAACACAATTACGATATAGAGATTGCACTGGTAGAACTTATAACCTCGTCTAACGCTAAAATAGTAGTTTGCTCGTGTTATCGTCCTCCAGACGCAGAAAAACGTTGGTTGGATAACTTTGAAGCTTTTCTTCACGATGTTTGCGTGCGTCATTCAAAGATCGTGATTGCTGGCGATTTCAATTTTCCGCGCGCGAGCTGGTCTTCGCGGGAAAATGAAAATGGCGGGAATGAACACGCCCTTGTTAGAATACTAAATGATGCTTTCCTAGAGCAAAAAAACATCCATCCTACTAGAGGAGATAACATTTTAGACCTAGTCATCACTAGCATTCCTGATCGCCTCAAAATAAGTGAAGTTTTAAAGCCGCAGGATACTGGAATTTCGACTGATCACAGCGCCGTTATTTTTGACATTTCCACATCGTATAACGCTGTCCCAAAGATAGTAAGAACTGTGTTTGACTACCGACGAGCAGATTTTGACGGTCTCCGTGCACATCTTAATTCTCTAGACCTTGCTGAACTAATATCAAGCGATGGCGATTGTAACCAGGATTGGTGTAACTGGAAAACCACATTTCTCTCTGCCGTATCAGAATTTGTTCCAACGCGATTACTTCGAGCTCGCAACCACCTTCCTTGGATGACCAGTGAGATTCTTCATAACATCAAGAAAAAAAATTCCTTAAGGCTAAGAATAAAAAGATCATCGTCGTCCAGTCAACATTGCATAGAAAGATTTCGAGAGATACGAAGAGAAATTAAGAGAATGTTACGTGAAAGTCGGCAAAGCTACATTTCTTCAATCTGTTCGTCGGGTGTGAAAAATCCCAAACGTTTCTGGACATTCTTCAAAACCAAAACAAAAACCTCGGTCATCCCAAAAGAAGTCTCCATGAAAGTAAATACTACAGAAAGACTATCTGCCAACAACAACGTGGACATTGCGAATACTTTCAACACGTATTTTACCTCGGTTTTTACGCATGACTCTGATACCCAACACTTTGAACAAAGTCTTACGGAAACTGACTTCATAATGGATAACATAACACTAACGGAGGAGGAAGTAGCTGCCGAGCTGAGACGTTTAGATACCAACAAAGCACTTGGCCCTGATGGTATTCCGGCAAGACTGCTGACTGAAACCGCCTTTCAGATTGCACCTTCACTTTGCGCTCTCTTCAACAAATCTCTTCGTACAGGCATGCTTCCTGATGATTGGAAATTGGCTAACATTGTACCCGTTCACAAACGAGGTGAGAAATCATTCGTAGAGAACTATCGGCCAATCTCATTACTGTCGTTGATCTCCAAAGTACAGGAACGTTGTGTGTTCAATAACATCAATACCATGTATACCAACAAATCAACGCATCCCAACACGGATTTATACCGGGGAAGTCGTGTGTAACGCAACTTGTGGAAGTATTTGAAGAGATAGGGCGCAAACTTGACAGTGGGCAACAAATAGACGTCATATATCTTGACATGTCAAAAGCATTCGATAAAGTAAGCCATACTAAGCTACTAGATCGACTTTGGGAATTTGGGTTCCGTGAGAATGTTCTGAATTGGTTCTCATCGTATCTAAGTAACCGTCGCCAACAAACCACAGTCCATGGAGCAACATCAAGACCGTTAGCCGTTACATCTGGGGTGCCGCAAGGTTCAATACTTGGTCCTTTATTGTTTTTGTTGTATGAGAACCATCTCTCCAACTCCGTGAACAATTCAACCATTGCCAGCTTTGCAGACGATACGAAGTTGTTCCGTACTATCAGTTCTTCATCGGATGCATCATTGCTTCAAGAAGATCTTACGAACTTTGAAAGTAATTCTAGCAATGTAGACCTAATGCTTAACGCAGAGAAGTGTAAAGTTCTGAGAGTAACCAGAAAAAAAGCAAAAATAGAACATAATTACACACTTAACAACACTGTGTTAAAGAATACCGACTCTGAACGTGACCTGGGAGTGTGGACATCATCGACCCTCACCTGGACCAAACACATTGAGACTCAATGCGCCCAAGCAAATAAAATGTTAGGATATATCAGAAGATCAACACTTGACATAAAATCTGTCTCCGTTCGAAGAACACTCTACTTGTCATTGGTGCGCTCGCAGTTGTGTTATGGCTCCCAAGTCTGGGCTCCTCAATATGTCAACCTCATCAAACGTGTGGAAAGAATTCAAAGACGAGCCACTAAGTATATCTTGGACCTCCCCTTCAGATGTGACCTCACCTACAATCAGAGACTAGAAATATTAGAATTAATTCCGATATGTTATTGGCACGAATTTCTCGACATGGTCTTCTTCTTCAAATGTACTCATGACATCATTTCTCTTAACACCGAGCTACTACCCACAACCCAGAACCGTGATAGACAAACTCGTTCTACGGATCAAAATTGCGTGGCATTCAACACACCACAATGTCGAACCACCACCTACCAGAAATCGTTCCTGGTGAGATCAGCACGGGTGTGGAACGTGCTTCCAAAGGATCTCCGACAAAAAGATATCACATTTAACGCGTTTAAGAGAGGACTTCTGAAATACTATGAACACGCTGTTCAACATGTCTTTGATGCAGAAGATCCCAGAACTTGGAAGACAATATGTTTATGTTGTAATGTGTCTCGTAACCTGTCTTGTCCGCCATCGTGCTGTAGTTAGTCGTATTGTACAGATGTTTGTTAATTTTTTTTCTAAGGGTCGCTGTAACTGGCTGTAAAAGCTGTAGCGATACCCGGCCATGTCAGTATATCATTAATTGTATATATTTGTTAAGTGTAATTGTATTTGAATAATTGGCAAAGCCTAATAAATAAATAAATAAATAAATAAATAAATAAATAAATTTTAACAGCAGCCCGGTGATTTCAAAATTCTGTGTTTTTTTGTGACACCTTTACACCTTCTAGCTACGGCCGTGAACAAAGAGTTGAGGAAAATTTCAAAGGCTGTTAAAACTTACAATAGTCGTAAAATGATGATTGACTGAAAGGTAAAACGTAGCCTTGCTGTTCTCGTGTAGAGATTCGTAAGCTATAGAAAGACAAAATATAAACTATTATAGATAATTATGCATATACTAATTATATGTTTGTATTCTTGTATTTTTATGCACATATTAATAACATTCTTGATATTTTGCATGGGTAATCAATACATGATGAATCATCAATTTGCTTTCGGTCGGTTACCCCGGGGCTTATGTAGTTCAATGGTGAATATTGCACTGACACGGGCCCGAGTAAAAGATCGAAAGCTCTGCTTATATGGTGTTGTTCACAAATTGATGATTTTAGTAAAAAAAAACTTTTTAGTATTTTTTTTAAAAAAGGAAGTCTCTCATATGTAACTATTAAACATAATATTTCGTTGTTCATGCATGACGTCGGTTCTCCTATCGCTGAAGATTTTAACATCCTTTACAGGAAATTTTAATTGGTATAAACGCGTTGCGAGGACCAAATTTAGCTATACCTCCAACACTGTAAATGAATATTTATCAGAATGTCGTAGTTGTACATACCTCAATGATTAACAGTTGAGTAATTTCATAGTACTCTAAACTTTGTGTATCATTATAGGCGGGTTTGTAGACGCGATTTATAATCACAAATTGACCTTCGACAGAGGCCTGAATATCTAAGAGGAAGAGAAGACGCATGAAAGTTGTTGTTTGATCGTTTAGGTGGGGTAGGACAGTCATGTACTGTAAAATTTTAATTGTATAATGTTATTAATGTAATGTTGAAATGACGGCGTGCTAATTGGCCGATTTATTTCAGTAATGATACATTTCGTTGATTATTACATTCTGAAATCATCGGCAAATACTGTATTATCATTGGCTAAGAGGAGTGGGATTTGAGCGGCTCGTCCAACTTTGGTAAAATTTTCAAACATTACTCCTACTATTAATCTCGAATTGCACTCGCAGTCGCATGATTTTAATTGCACATTTTGCAATGTGTAATTACACTCTTGCCAATAAGGGATATATTATATCTAATAAAAACCACTGCAGTATATATACAACTAGCCAATCGGCATTCAGGATACAAAGTAAGAATAACAAAATGAAAAAATGGCGCGTTATTTGCACAAAAAAACTAAACAGTCCTGTAATTCCCAAGAGAGGCAAAAATATTAGAGAAAGTAGAAAATCTTGGATAAAAATCGACCGAAATGATATACCTACATCAGGTACTAATAAGTTATACAAGTATTGTAAAATCAACATTTTGTTTTCCAATATAAGATCGTTTCGTTGTCATAATGTATCTATATACACTTTGATCGGAAATATCCCCTTAAAGCGGATTTCTATTCAGTACAAAATGTCGCGTGATCGACAATTTAGCTCAATTTTCAATCCCGATACACAAAACATGCGAAATTTAAAACAAAAATTCAAAATGGCTGCCATGACACTGAGATGGATTTTCTTCATTGAACTGCAGGTAAACTGGGACCCTATTATGAGCTGAAATACTTGACGCCAGATGTTGGGCTGGGTGTAAAATTAAAGCTATTGAAAAGTTATATTTCGAAGTTTAAAGACTTAAACTACAAGGAAATTTTTTAAAAAAACAATTACCAACCGCTAAAAAATCTTTTTTAGATAATTATTTCCCTTTAAGATTAACTCTCGAAATTTCTACATGAAATATAACTTTTTAATAGCTTTAATTTCGTATACGGCTAAAGGTTTGGTGTTAAGTATTTCATCTCATAACTCAGATTATTCGTATTCGCTTGATTTAAATATCAAAAAGCTGAATATATCTTTGATGAACGTGGAATATTTTCAAGGGGTCCAGACATTTCTGACGCTTGAAAACTGAAAGGATCAGGAAATTTGCAATCGATCTTTCAGGTCAAGCTTATCTTTGTGGAAATCAAACATTGGTTGAAAGCTTCATTTTTATACGGCTGACTTTGCAAACAACAACAAATTTGCCTTTTCGTAGTTCGCTGCTGTTATTCCTTTGTCTAGGAGAAAGTTTCTCAAATTATACACATTCAACGTTTCATCTGTTATTATTATTATTATTATTATTATTAAAAAATACACATAAAGTAGCTTAGACAGCTAAATTACAATGTGATTTACAGGTTCATAAAAATAATTTAAGAAATATTACATTTTAGAATTACAATAATTCATACTCTAATCTATATTACAAAGCTAGAAGTAAATTACAAAAACTATATTTTAAATATTAAGAAACTAATAAAATAGTTAAGAATCATCAATTTTGAGATTGTACTTACGAATCGCATATACTAGAGGACTATTTCTAAAGCGCTCTGTTCTGCATTTAAAATTGTAAATTTTATTTACATTAAGTCTCGTGTCTCTCTCCCGTAATTGACCTACAGTTGGTGGTAGCAAATCATTGAGTTTATGTGAAGGGTCCTTTATATCCTTTATCAAGTTTATGCACATTAACTCTCTTCGACTTTCTAAAGTTTTAATACCACATTCAGTTAATGCTTGTTCATAATTCTTTTCCGGGCATATAATTTTCATTGCACGCTTTTGAATTCTCTCTATATCCCTAGATTGTTCCTCTGTCAAACTCCCATGCCAAATTTGAGCTCCATATTCTACGATTGATCGAATTGCCGAAGTATAAATAGTTTTCAAATCATCTCGCGGAGCATTATATCCTTTTAAAATTTTTAAAAGAGATAATCGTTTAGCTGCCTTTTTGACAATGTATTCCGTATTTGTTCTCCATTTTAGATCATCGTCTAACCACAATCCAAGTAATTTATAAGAGCTTACTCTTTCTAGGATGCATTCATCGACTTCTGTTGCAGGAATAGCTGTTCTATCCTTTCGAAAGTCGATAATCATCTCTTTGCACTTTTTTGGGTATCGTCCATGAAGAGAATCGTATCTTCATCCACAACGACATCATTATTTCCATTTCCTACAACAGCTTCTGCTATAGCACTAGGTAACATATTAATTTTAACCACAAAAGCAATAGGTCCCAGCTTACTGCCTTGCGGAACGCCTCCCATAACATTCGCAAAATCAGATACTCCGTTTCCAAACTGTGTAAAATGAGATCTCTCGTCCAGGTACGATGCATACCATTTGATCAGAGCAGGTCTTACACCAATTTCTCGCATGTTTTCTAAGAGTTTATTATGATCGATAAGGTCAAATGCCTTTCGGAAATCCAAAAAGACTATTCTTATCACTCTGTGCAGTTCATCCAATGATTTATGCCACTTGTGTATTAAATTAACCAGCGCATTAATTGTCGATGATCGTGGTAGACCCCCATATTGAGAATCAGATATTTTTTCATCGGTATCTTCATATATCCACTGAACAGCAAAAGATTCTTGAACCTTTGCTAGGACACTAGTTAAAGCAATTGGTCTTAACTCTTCAACATGTGTACATGGTACAGATTTAGGGATTCCAGATACCTTATATTTTTTCCAGATCTCAGGAAAAGTTTTTGATTGAAAAGATTCATTGAAGATTTCGGTAAAAGGTACAGCAAAATATTTTGTAAAAATCTTCAAGATCTTCAGAGAGGGATCATAAGGACTAGGTGCTTTATTAAGGTTAATTTTACGCAATTCTCGTTGTACCTGGTCGACAGTAATTAGAGGTAGATTTTCTATACATTGAAATTCCAACCAATTTTCGTTCACTTTCGGATAATTCTTAGTTAAGTTTGCAAAATAATCGTTTATATAATGAGCAGACTGCTTATCATCCATCTGAAACCCAGTATTGGGATCCAACATTATTGGTTTAGCAGTTTTCTTGCCGATCAAGCCCTTCATTTGTTTCCACCAAGATTTAGGGTGGTTTTTAAAGTTTGGACTTACTTTATTCTCGTAGAAATCGATTTTCGCTTTCCGAATTTCTGCCGAGACTTGTCTTCTGAGACTTTTCACACGCTCAACTTTTTTATTTTTAAAAGCCATATTCCTTTTAAGAATCAACCATTTTATTTTAGCTGTCATAAAAGGTTTATCCTTACTATAAACTTTAACCGTTTTTTCCGGAAAATATTCAGAAATCATATTCTCAGTGACCTGAAGAAAGGTATTGACTTTTTCATTGATGTCGGAGGTGTAAAGAACCGAAGACCAGTTATAACTTGCTAGTAGAGATTCGAAATTCTCTAACTGCTGCTGTCGGATTTTTCTCACTTTGATTTTAATCGTAGTTCCTTTCTCCGTAATATGAGACTTGGATTTCCAGCTGATGATATTATGATCCGACGTTGACAGTGGGGCTAGGATTTCCGGAGTTTCGTAACAGTCAGCCATGTCAGTGAATATTAAATCAAGGATGTTTCTGTTTCTGGTAGGTTGCGTTACAATTTGTTTAAGATGACAATGCCTCTTTAAACGGTTTTGTTGGAACCCATTACTATCTGGATTGAAATCGCCTCCTAGAATAATTGCCGTATGTGGGCTTTCTAGACAAAGCTGGTCATAACAATTGTTGATATAATCATAGAAATTGTCAATTTCAGATACATTTAGGTTTGGTGGAAGGTATGCGCATCCTACTGCAATCCTTGAAATTGATCTTGGTAACCACTTTGGGCGGATAGTAATCCATAAGCATTCAAACAGTTGATCGTTTAAATCATCACGCGTTTTTAGTGGTATACTTTCATTGACATATATTGCCATATATATTGACATATATTATCGTCGTGATATCTATTGTTATAGGCTTGTAGTATATATTGCTTTCAATGTTTTGCTTGTCCGAACTCTATCCCGCTCTGCAAATTAGCCAGTCAAATCTTTCCACGCAAAACCAACGCGCCACGTGCGGAAAGGTCTATTAGAAAAGCGATCGCAAAAAGTCGATCGCGTGACATTTTGTACCCAATGGAAATACTCCTTTAACCACGTGACGGAACACGAGGTAATAATTCTGCTCAGATATTCTAATTACACCCGGGTATTGTGTCACACAATATACAGAACCAAAAGTTGTTTAAGTTCTAATTTTTTGAACAGTGTGCATACACTTGACATTAGACGGTAAAGTTGGTCGTTTTTGTTAATCAGGACCATGCGCGAAATATGAACCGGAATTGTAATTAGTAACACCTAGATTGGTTATTTTTGTATTACATTCAGAACACGGGTGTCCATATCTCGTTTTAAGGTAATGAAACGAAGAGGAATTGCAGGCACATGCAGGTGGCCGAGGTTGCCAACAATGTTACGCTTCATGTACGCGAGACTTACCAGTACATTCTCCATCAATAATTTGCTGTCTTGGACTAAAACAATTACAACGGAATGCTCCAGGAAAGTTGAAACATTCTTGACCTGCACCTGAACATTTTCGCGGTGCTGCAACACATTCGTTTATGTCTGCAAAGATAGAAATGGGAAATCCATTTAGCCTAATATTGTAGAAAAGCAGAATTAACTAAAAATTAGCATCAAATGTGGTACAACAACTCCCTAAAAATTAATAGACGTTAATAAAAGTTAGTATTAGTATTTCAGGAGAGTTGGTTTTTTAAAAACAATTCTCTTGACGAAGGCCCTCAGGTCGAAACGTCGAGATGTGTTTTGTCTATTTCAGGTAGTTGTCATACCACATTAATTTTGATGCCAAATTGTTTGAAGACGCTGCTCTCTGGTTATATTAACTAAAAGTTGAAAAGAATGCATAATGTATCCTATTAACAAAGATCCCTCCCTCCCTTGTGGTTGTCAATTGCAAGGAGATTCCCTCGCATTTGTGGAAACCCTGGGCCCATCGCTATGCTTTCCCTAGCAACGTGTCCCTGAAATATCATACAAAAGCAAAAGCTCAATTTCATTCAGTAAACTGTTGACATTGACGTTGTTTATTTCTTAGACATTACTTGCTTTCTAGCGTTTTTAAAGTTAACTTTTTATCGTTGTATCCTTGTATTATTCTAATCTGTGAAGGTATTAAAATTTATTCCTTCTTGGACACCGTTTTTTTATCATTTTGACACTAAATATAATAACAAATACTGACATCTCGGGAAAACAGTTTTTTTTATCCTGGTCCACTAACTGTTGCCCAAAGTGCACAGCTGACTTTTTTCTTTACTTTTAAATCGACAAGCTAGTGCCGCATTTGCAAGTTTTGCCGCGTTGCTGGACTGTGACGGTTTATAGTCCGGTTAGGACTAAATTGGGAGGAGGTTAAATATATTTATATACATTTACGTTTACATATCATAGGAACAATAGCGTACAAAATAAATCAGCTGGGAGTAGGTAAAATATTTGAATATACTCTATCCCAATTTAATGAAGCTTCAAGCTATGGCCCAATAATACAATAGAGCTGATCAACGAACGGGATAATTGTCGTGCCAGTGGTTGCAAAGTTGTATTGTTAATTGCATACCTTCACACGTGGTTCCATTTCCTGTATAACCTTCATTGCAGGTACAAGTGAACGACCCATTGGTATTTCTGCACGTTGCCTGACTGTGACAGGTGTGATTCCCAAGTCTGCATTCATCAACATCTTTAAACGTAATATATATAATTGAAGATTTAACGAACGAGCTGGGTTTTTCAACGTACGTTTAATATGTAATAAAGCCCAATTAGATTGTATAGTTGTTCCTTTTATGAAGTATAAATGTCTACCTGATGACGGATTATTATCTTCCGAGCTGTTTATATTATATACCTGTGCCAATTTAAGAATGCCGATTTAAGAAATTTAAATTTTAACCAAAACTATAACAAAATGGTAACGGAAAGCACGTCCTTTTCCACGTTCATATAACCTGTTTTTTTTTGTTTTTGTAAGAGAAAATCATTACCCTTACAACGTAAATTATAGTTTTGGTTATTAGCGATTTGGAACATTTTGTTCATACGGCAATTCGTTATTTTTCACTTGATACACTTTTCTTAATGAGAGTATATATAATTATCTGCATGGTAGTTGCACGGATGTCCAGAATATGCATTGAAAGGAATTTTGAGTCAGTTTGATTCTGCCAGACGTTCTAGACTTTCAACTGAATTTCAACTGATTCACGCGCTCATTTACATCTTTTAGCAGTGTGGCCTTCATCACTAATTGGATTTGCTTGAGCACAAAATTGAAGGTTTATGCCTTCAATTTAAGGTTTATGCCCACGCATCAATAGGGGCGTGCATATATAGGATGGTTTTGTCAACTGATTCTCCAGTGAAGCTAGCAGCTGAGATATTTTGTGTTATAATATCCTTGTGATCACTAATGTCCCTTAGGGCTTCAATCGCCATGAGCAGTTTATAAAAAAATATTTCCAAACGCAGTGGAAAACCAATCGTCAATAAGATTAGTTATTGTAATGTCATTGTAAGGCTATTCCACTTGTTTTTATATGGTGGCGAATTTATCTTAATTACCGACAATAAGCCGCTGGAGATAATATATGGAAAGAGAAATGCAAAGGCCTCTACACGCATAGAGCGGTAGATTTCACGATTATAGCCCATTTTAAAGTAGTGTATAAATCTCGCGCGGAGAACCCCGCAGACTATTTATCAAGACATCCCACTGCAAATAGCGTACACGAACAAGAGAAAATGACAGAGGTGTAGCTATAAATATTTTACTGTAATTAAATTCAAGTAGGCTATCGAAAAAACAAATGGAGATCCTACACTAAAAGGTTTACGTGCTGCAATAAGACTTAACCATTGGGAATCTCAAGTCGTCAACGAGTATAAACATGTAAAAGATGAACATTCGATTTTTTTCCTATGGACAATACTACGAGGAAATCGCATAGTTGTACAACACAGTTTACGACAGAGAGCATTTTCATATCGCGCATGAACATGTACTTAGGTATACGTATACGGAGAACAAAAGCTTTGCTTCGGGAAAAAGCGTGGTTTCACCACATCGAAAACATGATAAAGAAGACTATGGATAAGTGCATCACCGGTCAAGCGGTTGCAAGTCCAAACCCACCCAGAACCAATTACCATCGCAGAGATGCCGAAAGCCTAATAAAAGTATTGACTTTTACGGGCCACTCGCGGCCGGAGAGTATATCTGCTTGTAGTCATTGTTCGTTATTTACGATTTCCAGAGAAAAAGGTGGTAAACTCTACAAAAGCTTCCGTGATAATCAGCCAAACTTGATAAAATATTCACGGTGCACGGCATCCCCAAAACCATTCGATCCGACAAAGCACCGCCATTCATTGGGGAAGACTACTCCCGTTATTTACAGACCATTGGTATAAAAGCCGAGTTTCGACGCCCAAAGTGGCTCCAAGGCAACACAATTATAGAATGCTTTATTCGACCTCTCGGCAAAGCTCTAAAGACTGCAAAGCTTCACGTTTGCAAGCATTAAATTGAGACTGATTTTGATTATCAGTACAAATCTTTTGTATTTTTCCCCAAATAAAACATTCTAAATAATTATAAGCAAACTTAGCAAACCAGGAAATTAAATAATCGTGTGAGCTACTGTAGGTAGGTGTCGGTGAAACAGCAATAGAAATATCGCTCGCATTCAGATCTTCGCCTTGCAATAGAAATTCAGAGAAAATATATTTGAACAACGGAGATAACAAGTTACAGTTGTAGCCATTGCCCTCATAACCCATGCGACAAGTACAGTTATATGAACCATCAGTATCGGTACAATTTGCATTTACATTACAAGGATTTGTTTGACATTCGTTGATATCTAGGAACATGTAGAATCGGGATACTTGATTAGATTTATTTGTATTAGATTAAAGTCACGTGACAACTTATCACGAGGCTGTCGTTTGAAGTGTGTTCTTTCGTTTTGTATCGTTTGTGTATTTTGTATTAAAGCGATTGTAGAAAAGCTAAAGATTTGTGTGAGTTATTACATATCAGCGAAGGGGACATTACATTGGCGACGAGGATGGAACTTCGTCTAACATTATAGCCGTGATTTTGGCAAGATTACCAATCGGGAGTGTAGTATTTAGCGAAAATATTTGAAATGTCTGTCGCGGACGAAGATGGCGCAGGACAAAACGGCAATCCGGCAGGCGCTCAAGCAAGTTTATTGACAAGCGACGTCAAAGGGCTTCCTTGCTTTAACCCCAGGGAAGACCCAACGAATTTGGCTGTGAGATGGAAGCGCTGGAAGCGGTCATTTAATGTGTTTTTAACGGCAAAGGGAGTAATAAATGACAAACAGAAAGTGGCATTACTTCTGCATACGGGGGGGTTGCAGTTGCAAGAACTATATTTTACGTTAGTAAACGAAGACGAAGAGAAAGAGTTTAAGGATTGCGTCAAGGTCTTGGATGAGTATTTCGTCCCTAAAGTGAATCTACCGTTTGAGAGACACCAGTTTCGTCAAATGAGTCAGATGAACGGCGAGAAAGTGGATCATTTTGTTTCGCGTCTTAGGCAAAAAGCTACTACGTGCGAATTTCAGAACGTGGAAGAAGCAATTCGAGACCAACTAATTGAGAAATGTGGCGACTCAAAGCTTAGACGGAAGTTTCTTGAACGCGTTAATGCAACACTCAAGGATTTACAAGATATTGCGCGGGCATATGAGGCGGTAGAAGAGCAGTTGAAATCAATGGAAGGTTCGAATACAGTAAACGTTGTGAGTCATAAATCGCGTTGGAGCGGACGAAAAGAGAAAAAGGTCAACACAGATCAGAAAGAGCGCAGATACTCAGCCAAGGGGACTGGGCACGACAACAAGGATAACGTACGACGATGTTACAACTGTAATAAAACTGGGCACTTTGCTCGAGACGCAAATTGTCCAGCAAAGTCCAAGAGCTGCAATAAATGCGGAATCATAGGTCACTTCTCAGCTTGCTGCAAAAAAGCAGGGGAGAAGCACAACAAGGAGAAAGAAAAAAAGGAGGAGAAAAGAGCATATAAAGTCTCTGAGGAAGAAGGAAAAACACCAACAAGAGATGACTATGCCTTTGTTATTGGTGGGCATGGACAAAAAGATATGGGTCAGGTGGATCTAATTATTGGAGGAGTGAAACTAGAAAGTATTTTAATTGACTCAGGTGCAACATGTAATGTAATTGATTGTGAACTCTGGAACTATCTTAAAAGAAAACATGTTAGGTGCGAGTCAAGGGTATCAGACAAGAAACTGTTTGCGTATGGACAGAAAGAGCCAATCGACGTTGTAGGGACATTTACAGCAGAGATTGTGTGCGAGGCAAACAGTGAAAGATGTGTAGACGATTTCACTGTGATTAAAGAGAACGGAAGGCCTATATTGGGGAAGAAAACAGCCGAACAATTGAAAGTACTCAGGGTTGGACCTGAAGAAATAATAAGAACTGTTAACACGGTCACACAAGAGGGAAGTGATTCAGATATTCGTGAGGAGTTTGCTGATATTTTTACTGGAGTCGGACTACTTAAGGATTACAAGCTGAAACTGCATATCGATGAGGATGTTATACCAGTTGCTCAGCCGGTGCGTAGACTGCCATTCGGTCTAAGGGACAAAGTAGACGATAAGTTAGACGAGTTACTCGACATGGGTATTATCGAAGAATTGCCAGAAGCAACACCTACAAGGTGGGTTTCACCATTAGTGGTTGTTCCAAAAGCAGATGGAAAGGATATTCGAGTTTGTATCGATATGAGAAGGGCAAACGAGGCGATTGTAAGGGAAAGACATCCTATTCCGACCATAGAAGAAGTTTTGTATGATTTAAATGGAGCAACGGTATTTAGTAAGATAGACCTCAAATGGGGGTTTCATCAAGTGGAACTCACAGAGGATTCAAGGGACATTACGACGTTCGTGACACACCGGGGGTTATATAGATATCGTCGACTGATGTTCGGAATTACTTCAGCTCCAGAGAAGTACCAGAAAATAATCTCAGATGTTTTGGCAGGGTGCAATGGGGTGGCAAATATTGCGGATGATCTTATTGTTTACGGGGCTGATTTATCCGAGCATGATGAGAATCTTTATAAAGTACTAACACGTCTGCGAGAGAAAGGTCTTACCGTAAATGGGGACAAATGTCAGTTTAGACTTCCGGCCTTGACCTTTTTTGGCCACAAGCTCCAGTGCCAAAGGGGTGGCACCAAGTGAAGAGAAAGTTGCTGCTGTAGTCAACGCTAGACCACCGCAAAATGTTTCGGAAGTTAGGTCGTTCGTACAGTTAGTACAGTATTCGGCAAAGTTTATCCCGGACTTTGCGCAGATTGCAGAGCCGTTGCGTCGTGTACTAAGAAAGGGACAGTCGTTCGTTTGGGGGTCAGAGCAACAGCAGGCGTTTGAGAAGCTGAAATGGATGATGACTAGGGCTGAAGCCCTGGCTTATTTTAGAAACGACTGCAAAACGAGAATCGTCGCGGATGCAGGGCCGGAGGGAATTGGAGCTGTGTTGCTACAACTGCAAGGAGACCAGTGGAGAGCGGTGTCGTATGCCTCCAGGAACCTCTCGGACGTAGAGCGGCGATACGCCCAAACAGAGAAGGAAGCACTTGCACTCGTGTGGGCTTGCGAGCGGTTTAATATATATGTGTATGGTCGTGAATTCGAACTGGAAACTGACCATAAGCCACTAGAGTGTATTTTCAACAAGACATCGAAACCCTCAGCAAGGATCGAAAGATGGGTATTACGCTTCAGTGCCACAACTTCAAGGTCGTTTACCGGCCTGGAAAGACGAACATTGCCGATGCTTTGTCTAGAATGAACCAGAAGATCCAAAAGACCACAGCAGCGAGAAAGAGGACGTCATCCGTTTCGTTGCCATACAAGCGACACCCGTGGCCTTAACGACTAAAGAAATAGAGAGAGCGTCAGAAATCGACGCTGAATTACAAAGTGTGCGATACTATATCGAATCGGGAGATTGGACTAAATGTAAACTGTCGGCATATGCGTGTGTAAAGAATGAGCTCTGCATGATTGGTAGACTTGTTTTACGGGGGAATCGAATCGTTATTCCTCAGATGTTGCGAAGAAAGGTTTTGGAAGCGGCACATGAAGGCCATCAAGGAATTGTAAAGACGAAAAGCAGATTAAGAACGAAAGTATGGTGGCCCAAGATGGACATAGATGCTGAACGAGTGTGTAAATCGTGTCATGGATGTCAAGTAGTCAGCCAGTATAATGTACCGGAACCCATGAAACGGACCGAGATGCCTACAGGCCCATGGCAAGATGTCGCAGTAGACTTGATGGGGCCAATGCCAACCGGAGAATACTTGCTGGTAGTCGTGGATTACTATAGTCGATACTACGAAGTTTCCATTATGCACTCAACAACTTCAGAAAAGATTATCAAAGCGCTAAACGAAATTTTTGCTAGATTTGGTTTTCCTTACTCGTTGAAATCAGACAACGGGAGACAGTTTGTTAGTGAGGAGTTCAAGAGGTTTTTACAACAAGTGAATATTGAACACAGAACGTCACCACCACTTTGGCCACAAGCTAACGGTGAAGTGGAGCGCCAAAATCGCACTCTTCTCAAGGCACTAAAAGTGGCCCAAGTTGAAGGCAAGGATTGGAGAAAGGAGTTACCACAATTCCTTCTTGCGTATAGAACAACACCGCAAGTCACAACTGGAAAAACACCAGCGTTCCTTATGTTCAAACGTGAACTGAGAAGTAAACTTCCAGAACTTAGGGGAGATATAGACGACTTTGATGAGAACATAAGGGATCGCGATTGGCGAAACAAGCTAGTACAAAAAGCTAATGCAGATGAAAAAAGGAGGGCAAATGATAGCACTATTCTACCAGGAGACCAAGTACTACTACGGAACACTAAAACGTCAGGGAAGTTAGCTGCCAACTACGAAAAGGAGCCGTATACGGTGGTCACGAAGGAGGGGAACGAAGTGATGGTAGAGGCGGACGATGGCTCGATCTTTAGGAGAGACAGTTCATTTGTAAAACCATATAATAATCCAGTGGAGTCAGCTACGGAAAGCGAGTCCCAACAACAGCCGCAACCGGATAGCGAAACGGTTATCACCAATAGACTTAAGCGGGAGATTAGATTACCCGAGCGATTCAATGATTTTATCATGGACAAACCAAAGTGATACAAATATATTACGAAACAGTATGAACACGATAGTTCGTGTAGTTGAAGTTATGATTGGTTGTTCGAACACTAAATTGACTGGAAAGGAAGGGATGTAGAATCGGGATACTTGATTAGATTTATTTGTATTAGATTAAAGTCACGTGACAACTTATCACGAGGCTGTCGTTTGAAGTGTGTTCTTTCGTTTTGTATCGTTTGTGTATTTTGTATTAAAGCGATTGTAGAAAAGCTAAAGATTTGTGTGAGTTATTACATATCAGCGAAGGGGACATTAAAGAACATATTTCAGATAACATTGGCAAGGGGAATATTGAGTTTGATTTTGATAATCTGTAGAGAGATTAATTTTTTCCTTACTTTTCCCCAAAACAAAAATATTTTATTTAATATCTATCAACAAGCTGAGTAAATGACATGGTGAACAATGGCAAAGTGAATGAAAAATGAAAAATAATCTAAAATCCTCACTTCATCTTTAACTTAGGCACGCTGGAAGGTAAAGACTAATTCATGGGAATATAAAACAACTACGAAAGCAAACAAGGAAATTAGAGTAATCGTGTGAGCTATGTAGCTGTCGGGGAAATAGCGGGTAAAGATCGCTCGGGTTCAGCTTTGCCTTTCCGAAAGAAAGCCGGAAGAAATAAGGTTTTGACAATGCAATTATACCAAATACCTTTAAATATGCCGATATTCTATTTTTACGTTACATGTGCAGTTATAACCATTGCCCTCATAGCCCATGCGACAAGTACAATTATATGAACCATCAGAATTGGTACAATTTGCATTTACATCACAAGGATTTGTTTGACATGCATTGATATCTAGAAATACAATTATTACAGATGACGTTCGCAAGGACTATATTAAGATTCATTTTGATCATCTGTACAAAATTTTGTATTTTTCCCGAACATAAAACATATTACTATCAATCTGATTTAGCTGAGTATATAGCATGGTGAACAATTGTAAATGAAAAAAGAATGTAAACTTCTTTCTCCTTCCTCAACTTACGTACGTTAGATCCAAGCCAAAGACTAATTCATGTTATAATTATTTAACTATTATAGCAAACAAAAACGGGAATTAAACTATTCATGTGGTCTACCTAGCTGTCGCGGAAACAGCGGATAAATATCGCTCGCATTCAGATTTGCCTTTGCGACAGAAGAACAGAAGAAAATAAATTTTAGCACTGCATGATATAACAAATCATTTGAATACGAGAATAACCTATTTTTACGTTACCTGTACAGTTGTAACCATTGCCCTCGTAGCCCATGTGACAAGTACAATTATATGAACCATCAGTATTAGTACAATTTGCATTTAAACCACAAGGATTTCTTTGACATTCATTGATATCTAGAAATAAATCATAGATGACGTTCAAAAGGATTTCATTGAGTTTGATTTTGATAATCTGTAGAAATCTTTTTCTTTACTTTTTCCTAACACAAAACTATTTTATTGTATAACTATTAGCAAGCTGACTTAGCTGAGTATATGGCATGGCGAACAATTGTAAATGAAAAAAGAATGTAAAATTTTCTTTATGCCGATATTTTATGTTCACCTTACCTATACAGTTGTAACCATTGCCCTCATAGCCCATGTTACAAGTACAATTATATGAACCATCAGTATTAGTGCACTTTGCATTTACATCACAAGGATTTGTTTGACATTCATTGATATCTAGAAATATATTATAGATTACGTTCAAAAGGATTTCATTGAGTTTGATTTTGATAATCTGTAGAAATCTTTTTTTATACTTTCACCCAAAACAAAAAATTTTCATTATATAATTATTAACAATCTGACTTAGTTGAGTTTATAACATGGTGAAAAATTGTAAATGAAAAAAGAATGTAAACTTCTTTTTCCTTCCTCAACTTAGGCACGTCAGATCCAAGCCAAAGACTAATTCATGTTTTAATTATTTAACTATTATAGCAAACAAAAACGGGAATTAAACTATTCATGTGGTCTACCTAGCTGTCGCGGATACAGCGGATAAATATCGCTCGCATTCAGATTTGACTTTGCGACAAAAGAACAGAAGAAAATAAATTTTAGCACTGCATGATATAACAAATAATTTGAATACGAGAATAACCTATTTTTACGTTACCTGTACAGTTGTAACCATTGCCCTCGTAGCCCATGTGACAAGTACAATTATACCAACCATCGGTATTAGTGCAATTTGCATTTAAACCACAAGGATTTGTTTGACATTCATTGATATCTAGAAATATATCATAGATGACGTTCAAAAGCATTTCATTGAGTTTGATTTTGATAATCTGTAGAAATCTTTTTCTATACTTTTTCCTAACACAAAACTATTTTATTGTATAACTATTAGCGAGCTGACTTAGCTGAGTATATGGCATGGCGAACAAATGTAAATGAAAAAAGAATGTAAAATTTTCTTTATGCCGATATTTTATGTTCACCTTACCTATACAGTTGTAACCATTGCCCTCATAGCCCATGTTACAAGTACAATTATATGAACCATCAGTATTAGTGCACTTTGCATTTACATCACAAGGATTTGTTTGACATTCATTGATATCTAGAAACATATTACAGATAACGTTGGCAAGAATTATCTTCAGTTTGATTTCGATAATCTGTATAGTAATCTTTTTCTATACTTTTCCCCCCAAAAAATTCTTCATTGTATGATTATTAACAAGCAGACTTAGCTGAGTATATGGCATGGTGAACAATTGTATATTAAAAAAGAATGTAAAATTTTGTTGATGCCAATATTCTATATTCACCTTACCTGTACAGTTGTAACCATTGCCCTCATAGCCCATGTTACAAGTACAATTATATGAACCATCAGTATTAGTGCAATCTGCATTTACACCACAAGGATTTGTTTCACATTCATTGATATCTAGAAACATATTACAGATAACGTTGGCAAGGACTACATTGAGTTTGATTTTGACAATCTGTAGAAATCTTTTCTATACTTTTTCAAAAAGAAAATATTTTTCATGATATAACTATAACAAGCAGACTAGCTTAGCTGAGCATATGGAATGGTGAACATTTATAAATCAAAAAAGAATGTCAAATTTTGTTTATGCCGATATTCTACGTTCACCTTACCTGTACAGTTGTAATTACCATTGCCCTCATAGCCCATGTTGCAAGTACAATTATATGAACCATCAGTATTAGTACAATTTGCATTTACACCACAAGGATTTGTTTGACATTCATTGATATCTAGAAACATATTACAGGTAACGTTGGCAAGGATTAAATTGAGTTTGATTTTGATAATCTGTACAAATCTTCTCTATACTTTTCCCCAAAACAAAAGTATTAAATAACTGTTAACATGCTGAGTATAATTACAAATGAAAAAGAATCTAAAATCCTCTTTCCATTTTCAACTTAGGCATGCTGCAAGGAAAAGACTAACTCAAGGGTATATAAAGCAACTATACTAGAGCAAACAAGCAAATTAGCTAGAGTAATCGTGTGAGCTAGGTAGCTGACGAGGAAGCAGCAGATAAATAGCACCTTTCGGAGAGATCGAAAGCCGGAAGAAAATCAATTTTGACAATGCATATAACAAATACTTTTGGATATACCGATATTTCATTTTTACGTTACCTGTACAGTTATAACCACTGCCTTCATAGCCCATGTGACAAGTACAATTGTACGAACCATCGATATTGGTACAATTTGCATTTACATCACAAGGATTTGTTTGACATGCATTGATTTCTAGAAAAATTTTATAGATGACGTTTGAAAGATTACATTGAGTTTTATTTTGAAAAAAAAAAATTATTCATTATATAATTATTAACAACCAGACTTAGTTTAGTATATGGCATGGTGAGCAATTTTAATCAAAAAGAATGTAAAATTTTGTTTATGCCGATATTCTATGTTCACTTTACCTGTACAGTTGTTACCATTGCCCTCATAGCCCATGTTACATGTACAATTATATGAACCATCAGTGTTGGTGCAATTTGCATTTACATCACAAGGATTTGTTTGACATTCATTTATATCTAGAAACATATTACAGATGACGTTGGCAAGGACTACATTGAGTTTGATTTTGATAATCTGTACAAATCTTTTCTATACTTTTTCAAAATGAAAATATTATTCATAATATAATTATAACAAGCAGACTAGCTTAGCTGAGCATATGGAATGGTGAACAATTGTAAATCAAAAAAGAATGTGAAATTTTGTTTATGCCGATATTCTATGTTCACCTTACCTGTACAGTTGTAATTACCATTGCCCTCATAGCCCATGTTACAAGTACAATTATATGAACCATCAGTATTAGTACAATTTGCATTTACACCACAAGGATTTGTTTGACATTCATTGATATCTAGAAACATATTACAGGTAACGTTGGCAAGGATTAAATTGAGTTTGATTTTGATAATCTGTACAAATCTTCTCTATACTTTTCCCCAAAACAAAAGTATTAAATAACTGTTAACATGCTGAGTATAATTACAAATGAAAAAGAATCTAAAATCCTCTTTCCATTTTCAACTTAGGCATGCTGCAAGGAAAAGACTAACTCAAGGGTATATAAAGCAACTATACTAGAGCAAACAAGCAAATTAGCTAGAGTAATCGTGTGAGCTAGGTAGCTGACGAGGAAGCAGCAGATAAATAGCACCTTTCGGAGAGATCGAAAGCCGGAAGAAAATCAATTTTGACAATGCACATAACAAATACTTTTGAATATGCCGATATTCTATTTTTACGTTACCTGTACAGTTATAACCATTGCCTTCATAGCCCATGTGACAAGTACAATTGTACGAAACATCGATATTGGTACAATTTGCATTTACATCACAAGGATTTGTTTGACATGCATTGATTTCTAGAAATATTTTATAGATGACGTTTGAAAGATTACATTGAGTTTTATTTTGAAAAAAAAAATTATTCATTATATAATTATTAACAACCAGACTTAGCTTAGTATATGGCATGGTGAGCAATTTTAATCAAAAAAGAATGTAAAATTTTGTTTATGCCGATATTCTATGTTCACTTTACCTGTACAGTTGTTACCATTGCCCTCATAGCCCATGTTACATGTACAATTATATGAACCATCAGTGTTGGTGCAATTTGCATTTACATCACAAGGATTTGTTTGACATTCATTTATATCTAGAAACATATTACAGATAACGTTGGCAAGGACTACATTGAGTTTGATTTTGATAATCTGTAGAAATCTTTTCTATACTTTTTCAAAAAGAAAATATTATTCATTATATAATTATAACAAGCAGACTAGCTTAGCTGAGCATATGGAATGGTGAACAATTGTAAATCAAAAAAGAATGTCAAATTTTGTTTATGCTGATATTCTATGTTCACCTTACCTGTACAGTTGTAATTACCATTGCCCTCATAGCCCATGTTACAAGTACAATTATATGAACTATCAGTATTAGTACAATTTGCATTTACACCACAAGGATTGGTTTGACATTCATTGATATCTAGAAACATATTACAGATAACGTTGGCAAGGATTACATTGAGTTTGATTTTGATAATCTGTACAAATCTTCTCTATACTTTTCCCCAAAACAAAAGTATTAAATAACTCTTAACAAGCTGAGTATAATTACAAATGAAAAAGAATCTAAAATCCTCTTTCCATTTTAAACTTAGGCATGCTGGAAGGAAAAGACTAACTCAAGGGTATATAAAACAACTATACTAGAGCAAACAAGCAAATTAGCTAGAGTAATCGTGTGAGCTAGGTAGCTGACGAGGAAGCAGCGGATAAATAGCACCTTTCGGAGAGATCGAAAGCCGGAAGAAAATCAATTTTGACAATGCACAAAACAAATACTTTTGAATATGCCGATATTCTATTTTTACGTTACCTGTACAGTTATAACCATTGCCTTCATAGCCCATGTGACAAGTACAATTGTATGAACCATCGATATTGGTACAATTTGCATTTACATCACAAGGATTTGTTTGACATGCATTGATTTCTAGAAATATATTATAGATGACGTTTGAAAGATTACATTGAGTTTTATTTTAAAAAAAAAATATTATTCATTATATAATTATTAACAACCAGAGTTAGCTTAGTATATGGCATGGTGAGCAATTTTAATCAAAAAAGAATGTAAAATTTTGTTTATGCCGATATTCTATGTTCACTTTACCTGTACAGTTGTTACCATTGCCCTCATAGCCCATGTTACATGTACAATTATATGAACCATCAGAGTTGGTGCAATTTGCATTTACATCACAAGGATTTGTTTGACATTCATTTATATCTAGAAACATATTACAGATAACGTTGGCAAGGACTTTATTGAGTTTTATTTTGATAATCTGTAGAAATCTTTTCTATACTTTTTAAAAAAGAAAATATTATTCATTATATAATTATAACAAGCAGACTAGCTTAGCTGACCGTATGGAATGGTGAACATTTGTAAATCAAAAAAGAATGTCAAATTTTGTTTATGCCGATATTCTACGTTCACCTTACCTGTACAGTTGTAATTACCATTGCCCTCATAGCCCATGTTACAAGTACAATTATATGAACCATCAGTATTAGTACAATTTGCATTTACACCACAAGGATTTGTTTGACATTCATTGATATCTAGATACATATTACAGATAACGTTGGCAAGGATTAAATTGAGTTTGATTTTGATAATCTGTACAAATCTTCTGTATACTTTTCCCCAAAACAAAAGTATTAAACAATTGTTAACATGATGAGTATGATTACAAATGAAAAAGAATCTAAAATCCTCTTTCCATTTTCAACTTAGGCATGCTGGAAGGAAAAGACTAACTCAAGGGTATATACAGCATTTATACTAGAGCAAACAAGCAAATTAGCTAGAGTAATCGTGTGAGCTAGGTAGCTGAAGAGGAAGCAGCAGATAAATAGCACCTTTCGGAGAGATCGAAAGCCGGAAGAAAATCAATTTTGACAATGCATATAACAAATACTTTTGAATATGCCGATATTCTATTTCTACGTTACCTGTACAGTTATAACCATTGCCTTCATAGCCCATGTGACACGTACAATTGTACGAACCATCGATATTGGTACAATTTGCATTTACATCACAAGGATTTGTTTGACATGCATTGATTTCTAGAAATATATTATAGATGACGTTTGAAAGATTACATTAAGTTTTATTTTGAAATAAAAATATTATTCATTATATAATTATTAACAACCAGACTTAGCTTAGTATATGGCATATTGAGCAATTTAATCAAAAAAGAATGTAAAATTTTGTTTATGCCGATATTCTATGTTCCCTTTACCTGTACAGTTGTTACCATTGCCCTCATAGCCCATGTTACATGTACAATTATATGAGCCATCAGTGTTGGTGCAATTTGCATTTACATCACAAGGATTTGTTTGACATTCATTTATATCTAGAAACATATTACAGATAACGTTGGCAAGGATTAATATGAGTTTCATTTTGATAATCTGTAGAAATCTTTTCTATACTTTTCCCCAAAACAAAAGTATTAAAAAACTTTTAACATGCTGAGTATAATTAAACTGAAAAAGAATCTAAAATCCTCTTTCCATTTTCAACTTAGGCATGCTGGAAGGAAAAGACTAACTCAAGGGTATATACAGCATTTATACTAGAGCAAAAAAGCAAATTAGCTAGAGTAATCGTGTGAGCTAGGTAGCTGAAGAGGAAGCAGCAGATAAATAGCACCTTTCGGAGAGATCGAAAGCCGGAAGAAAATCAATTTTGACAATGCATATAACAAATACTTTTGAATATGCCGATATTCTATTTCTACGTTACCTGTACAGTTATAACCATTGCCTTCATAGCCCATGTGACACGTACAATTGTACGAACCATCGATATTGGTACAATTTGCATTTACATCACAAGGATTTGTTTGACATGCATTGATTTCTAGAAATATATTATAGATGACGTTTGAAAGATTACATTGAGTTTTATTTTGAAATAAAAATATTATTCATTATATAATTATTAACAACCAGACTTAGCTTAGTATATGGCATATTGAGCAATTTTAATCAAAAAAGAATGTAAAATTTTGTTTATGCCGATATTCTATGTTCCCTTTACCTGTACAGTTGTTACCATTGCCCTCATAGCCCATGTTACATGTACAATTATATGAGCCATCAGTGTTGGTGCAATTTGCATTTACATCACAAGGATTTGTTTGACATTCATTTATATCTAGAAACATATTACAGATAACGTTGGCAAGGATTAATATGAGTTTCATTTTGATAATCTGTAGAAATCTTTTCTATACTTTTCCCCAAAACAAAAGTATTAAAAAACTTTTAACATGCTGAGTATAATTAAACTGAAAAAGAATCTAAAATCCTCTTTCCATTTTCAACTTAGGCATGCTGGAAGGAAAAGACTAACTCAAGGGTATATACAGCATTTATACTAGAGCAAAAAAGCAAATTAGCTAGAGTAATCGTGTGAGCTAGGTAGCTGAAGAGGAAGCAGCAGATAAATAGCACCTTTCGGAGAGATCGAAAGCCGGAAGAAAATCAATTTTGACAATGCATATAACAAATACTTTTGAATATGCCGATATTCTATTTCTACGTTACCTGTACAGTTATAACCATTGCCTTCATAGCCCATGTGACACGTACAATTGTACGAACCATCGATATTGGTACAATTTGCATTTACATCACAAGGATTTGTTTGACATGCATTGATTTCTAGAAATATATTATAGATGACGTTTGAAAGATTACATTGAGTTTTATTTTGAAATAAAAATATTATTCATTATATAATTATTAACAACCAGACTTAGCTTAGTATATGGCATATTGAGCAATTTTAATCAAAAAAGAATGTAAAATTTTGTTTATGCCGATATTCTATGTTCCCTTTACCTGTACAGTTGTTACCATTGCCCTCATAGCCCATGTTACATGTACAATTATATGAACCATCAGTGTTGGTGCAATTTGCATTTACATCACAAGGATTTGTTTGACATTCATTTATATCTAGAAACATATTACAGATAACGTTGGCAAGGACTACATTGAGTTTGATTTTGATAATCTGTAGAAATCTTTGCTATACTTTTTCAAAAAGAAAATATTATTCATTATATAATTATAACAAGCAGACTAGCTTAGCTGAGCATATGGAATGGTGAACAATTGTAAATAAAAAAGAATGTCAAATTTTGTTTATGCCGATATTCTATGTTCACCTTACCTGTACAGTTGTAATTACCATTGCCCTCATAGCCCATGTTACAAGTACAATTATATGAACTATCAGTATTAGTACAATTTGCATTTACACCACAAGGATTGGTTTGACATTCATTGATATCTAGAAACATATTACAGATAACGTTGGCAAGGATTACATTGAGTTTGATTTTGATAATCTGTACAAATCTTCTCTATACTTTTCCCCAAAAAAAAAGTATTAAATAACTCTTAACAAGCTGAGTATAATTACAAATGAAAAAGAATCTAAAATCCTCTTTCCATTTTAAACTTAGGCATGCTGGAAGGAAAAGACTAACTCAAGGGTATATAAAACAACTTACTAGAGCAAACAAAGCAAATTAGCTAGAGTAATCGTGTGAGCTAGGTAGCTGACGAGGAAGCAGCGGATAAATAGCACCTTTCGGAGAGATCGAAAGCCGGAAGAAAATCAATTTTGACAATGCACAAAACAAATACTTTTGAATATGCCGATATTCTATTTTTACGTTACCTGTACAGTTATAACCATTGCCTTCATAGCCCATGTGACAAGTACAATTGTATGAACCATCGATATTGGTACAATTTGCATTTACATCACAAGGATTTGTTTGACATGCATTGATTTCTAGAAATATATTATAGATGACGTTTGAAAGATTACATTGAGTTTTATTTTGAAAAAAAAAATATTATTCATTATATAATTATTAACAACCAGAGTTAGCTTAGTATATGGCATGGTGAGCAATTTTAATCAAAAAAGAATGTAAAATTTTGTTTATGCCGATATTCTTGTTCACTTTACCTGTACAGTTGTTACCATTGCCCTCATAGCCCATGTTACATGTACAATTATATGAACCATCAGAGTTGGTGCAATTTGCATTTACATCACAAGGATTTGTTTGACATTCATTTATATCTAGAAACATATTACAGATAACGTTGGCAAGGACTTTATTGAGTTTTATTTTGATAATCTGTAGAAATCTTTTCTATACTTTTTAAAAAAGAAAATATTATTCATTATATAATTATAACAAGCAGACTAGCTTAGCTGACCGTATGGAATGGTGAACATTTGTAAATCAAAAAAAGAATGTCAAATTTTGTTTATGCCGATATTCTACGTTCACCTTACCTGTACAGTTGTAATTACCATTGCCCTCATAGCCCATGTTACAAGTACAATTATATGAACCATCAGTATTAGTACAATTTGCATTTACACCACAAGGATTTGTTTGACATTCATTGATATCTAGATACATATTACAGATAACGTTGGCAAGGATTAAATTGAGTTTGATTTTGATAATCTGTACAAATCTTCTGTATACTTTTCCCCAAAACAAAAGTATTAAACAATTGTTAACATGATGAGTATGATTACAAATGAAAAAGAATCTAAAATCCTCTTTCCATTTTCAACTTAGGCATGCTGGAAGGAAAAGACTAACTCAAGGGTATATACAGCATTTATACTAGAGCAAACAAGCAAAAGCTAGAGTAATCGTAGGTAGCTGAAGAGGAAGCAGCAGATAAATAGCACCTTTCGAAAGATCGAAAGCCGGAAGAAAATCAATTTGACATGCAAACAAATACTTTTGGATATACCGATATTTCATTTTTACGTTACCTGTACAGTTATAACCACTGCCTTCATAGCCCATGTGACAAGTACAATTGTACGAACCATCGATATGGGTACAATTTGCATTTACATCACAAGGATTTGTTTGACATGCATTGATTTCTATAAATATATTATAGATGACGTTTGAAAGATTACATTGAGTTTTATTTTGAAAAAATATTATTCATTAATTAATTATTAACAACCAGACTTAGTTTAGTATATGGCATGGTGAGCAATTGTAAATCAAAAAAAGAATGTAAAATTTTGTTTATGCCGATATTATATGTTCACTTTACCGGTACAGTTGTTACCATTGCCCTCATAGCCCATGTTACATGTACAATTATATGAGCCATCAGTGTTGGTGCAATTTGCATTTACATCACAAGGATTTGTTTGACATTCATTTATATCTAGAAACATATTACAGATAACGTTGGCAAGGATTAATATGAGTTTCATTTTGATAATCTGTAGAAATCTTTTCTATACTTTTCCCCAAAACAAAAGTATTAAAAAACTTTTAACATGCTGAGTATAATTAAACTGAAAAAGAATCTAAAATCCTCTTTCCATTTTCAACTTAGGCATGCTGGAAGGAAAAGACTAACTCAAGGGTATATACAGCATTTATACTAGAGCAAACAAGCAAATTAGCTAGAGTAATCGTGTGAGCTAGGTAGCTGAAGAGGAAGCAGCAGATAAATAGCACCTTTCGGAGAGATCGAAAGCCGGAAGAAAATCAATTTTGACAATGCATATAACAAATACTTTTGAATATGCCGATATTCTATTTCTACGTTACCTGTACAGTTATAACCATTGCCTTCATAGCCCATGTGACACGTACAATTGTACGAACCATCGATATTGGTACAATTTGCATTTACATCACAAGGATTTGTTTGACATTCATTGATTTCTAGAAATATATTATAGATGACGTTTGAAAGATTACATTGAGTTTTATTTTGAAATAAAAATATATTCATTATAATTATTAACAACCAGACTTAGCTTAGTATATGGCATATTGAGCAATTTTAAAAAAAGAATGTAAAATTTTGTTTATGCCGATATTCTATGTTCCCTTTACCTGTACAGTTGTTTTACCATTGCCCTCATAGCCCATGTTACATGTACAATTATATGAGCCATCAGTGTTGGTGCAATTTGCATTTACATCACAAGGATTTGTTGACATTCATTTATATCTAGAAACATATTACAGATAACGTTGGCAAGGATTAATATGAGTTTCATTTTGATAATCTGTAGAAATCTTTTCTATACTTTTCCCCAAAACAAAAGTATTAAAAAACTTTTAACATGCTGAGTATAATTAAACTGAAAAAGAATCTAAAATCCTCTTTCCATTTCAACTTAGGCAGCTGGAAGGAAAAGACTAACTCAAGGGTATATACAGCATTTTATACTAGAGCAAAAAAGCAAATTAGCTAGAGTAATCGTGTGAGCTAGGTAGCTGAAGAGGAAGCAGCAGAAATAGCACCTTTCGGAGAGATCGAAAGCCGGAAGAAAATCAATTTTGACAATGCATATAACAAATACTTTTGAATATGCCGATATTCTATTTCTACGTTACCTGTACAGTTATAACCATTGCCTTCATAGCCCATGTGACACGTACAATTGTACGAACCATCGATATTGGTACAATTTGCATTTACATCACAAGGATTTGTTTGACATGCATTGATTTCTAGAAATATATTATAGATGACGTTTGAAAGATTACATTGAGTTTTATTTTGAAATAAAAATATTATTCATTATATAATTATTAACAACCAGACTTAGCTTAGTATATGGCATATTGAGCAATTTTAATCAAAAAAGAATGTAAAATTTTGTTTATGCCGATATTCCATGTTCCCTTTACCTGTACAGTTGTTACCATTGCCCTCATAGCCCATGTTACATGTACAATTATATGAACCATCAGTGTTGGTGCAATTTGCATTTACATCACAAGGATTTGTTTGACATTCATTTATATCTAGAAAATTTACAGATAACGTTGGCAAGGATTAATATGAGTTTCATTTTGATAATCTGTAGAAATCTTTTCTATACTTTTCCCCAAAACAAAAGTATTAAAAAACTTTTAACATGCTGAGTAAAATTACAAATAAAAAAGAATCTAAAATCCTCTTTCCATTTTAAACTTAGGCATGCTGGAAGCAAAAGACTAACTCAAGGGTATATACAGCATTTATACTAGAGCAAACAAGCAAATTAGCTACAGTAATCGTGTGAGCTAGGTAGCTGAAGAGGAAGCAGCAGATAAATAGCACCTTTCGGAGAGATCGAAAGCCGGAAGAAAATCAATTTTGACAATGCACATAACAAATACTTTTGAATATGCCGATATTCTATTTTTACGTTACCTGTACAGTTATAACCATTGCCTTCATAGCCCATGTGACAAGTACAATTGTACGAACCATCGATATTGGTACAATTTGCATTTACATCACAAGGATTTGTTTGACATGCATTGATTTCTAGAAATATATTATAGATGACGTTTGAAAGATTACATTGAGTTTTATTTTGAAAAAAAAAATATTATTCATTATATAATTATTAACAACCAGACTTAGCTTAGTATATGGCATATTGAGCAATTTTAATCAAAAAGAATGTAAAATTTTGTTTAGGCCGATATTCTATGTTCACTTTACCTGTACAGTTGATACCATTGCCCTCATACCCCATGTCACATGTACAATTTATGAACCACAGTGTTGGTGCTTGCATTTACATCACAAGGATTGTTTGACATTCATTATATCTAGAAACATATTACAGATGACGTTGGCAAGGACTACATTGAGTTTGATTTTGATAATCTGTAGAAATCTTTTCTTACTTTTTCAAAAAGAAAATATTATTCATTATATAATTATAACAAGCAGGACTAGCTTAGCTGAGCATATGGAATGGTGAACAATTGTACATCAAAAAAGAATGTCAAAATTTGTTTTGCCGTATTCTATCGTTCACCTACCTGTACAGTGTAATTACCATTGCCCTCATAGCCCATGTTACAAGTACATTATATGAACCATCAGTATTAGTACAATTTGCATTTACACACAAGGATTTGTTTGACATTCATTGATATCTAGAAACATATTACAGATGACGTTGGCAAGGATTAAATTGAGTTTGATTTTGAAATCGGTAGAAATCTTTCTATACTTTTCCCAAAACAAAAGTATTAAATAATAACATGCTGAGTAAAAGTACATGAAAAGAATCTAAAATCCCTTTCCATTTTAAACTTAGGCATGCTGGAAGGAAAGACTAACTCAAGCGGTATATACAGCATTATACTAGAGCAAACAAGCAAATTAGCTAGAGTAATCGTGTGAGCTAGGTAGCTGAAGAGGAAGCAGCAGATAAATAGCACCTTTCGGAGAGATCGAAAGCCGGAAGAAAATCAATTTTTGACAATGCACATAAACATACTTTTGAATATGCCGTATTCTATTTTTACGTTACCTGTACAGTTATAACCATTGCCTTCATAGCCCATGTGACAAGTACAATTGTACGAACCATCGATATTGGTACAATTTGCATTTACATCACAAGGATTTGTTTGACATGCATTGATTTCTAAAAATATTTTATAGATGACGTTTGAAAGATTACATTGAGTTTTATTTTGAAAAAAAAAAATTATTCATTATATAATTATTAACAACCAGACTTAGCTTAGTATATGGCATGGTGAGCAATTTAATCAAAAAAGAATGTAAAATTTTGTTTATGCCGATATTCTATGTTCACTTTACCTGTACAGTTGTTACCATTGCCCTCATAGCCCATGTTACATGTACAATTATATGAACCATCAGTGTTGGTGCAATTTGCATTTACATCACAAGGATTTGTTTGACATTCATTTATATCTAGAAACATATTACAGATAACGTTGGCAAGGACTACATTGAGTTTGATTTTGATAATCTGTAGAAATCTTTTCTATACTTTTTCAAAAAGAAAATATTATTCATTATATAATTATAACAAGCAGACTAGCTTAGCTGAGCATATGGAATGGTGAACAATTGTAAATCAAAAAAGAATGTCAAATTTTGTTTATGCCGATATTCTATGTTCACCTTACCTGTACAGTTGTAATTACCATTGCCCTCATAGCCCATGTTACAAGTACAATTATATGAACCATCAGTATTAGTACAATTTGCATTTACACCACAAGGATTTGTTTGACATTCATTGATATCTAGAAACATATTACAGATGACGTTGGCAAAGATTAAATTAAGTTTCATTTTGATAATCTGTAGAAATCTTTTCTATACTTTTCCTCAAAACAAAAGTATTAAATAACTGTTAACATGCTGAGTATAATTACAAATGAAAAACAATCTAAAATCCTCTTTCCATTTTCAACTTAGGTATGCTAGAAGGAAAAGACTAACTCAAGGGTATATACAGCAACTATACTAGAGCAAACAAGCAAATTAGCTAGAGTAATCGTGTGAGCTAGGTAGCTGCCGAGGAAGCAGCAGATAAATAGCACCTTTCGGAGAGATCGAAAGCCGGAAGAAAATCAATTTTGACAATGCATATAACAAATACTTTTGAATATGTTGATATTCTATTTTTACGTTACCTGTACAGTTATAACCATTGCCTTCATAGCCCATGTGACAAGTACAATTGTATGAACCATCGATATTGGTACAATTTGCATTTACATCACAAGGATTTGTTTGACATGCATTGATTTCTAGAAATATATTATAGATGAGGTTTGAAAGATTACATTGAGTTTTATTTTGAAAAAATATTATTCATTATATAATTATTAACAACCAGACTTAGCTTAGCTAGTATATATGGCATGGTGAGCAATTGTAAATCAAAAAAGAATGTAAAATTTTGTTTATGCCGATATTCTATGTTCACTTTACCTGTACAGTTGTTACCATTGCCCTCATAGCCCATGTTACAAGTACAATTATATGAACCATCAGTGTTGGTGCAATTTGCATTTACATCACAAGGATTTGTTTGACATTCATTTATATCTAGAAACATATCACAGATAACGTTGGCAAGGACTACATTGAGTGTGATTTTGATAATCTGTAGAAATCTTTTCTATACTTTTTCAAAAAGAAAATATTATTCATTATATAATTATAACAAGCAGACTAGCTTAGCTGAGTATATGGAATGGTGAACAATTGTAAATCAAAAAAGAATGTCAAATTTTGTTTATGCCGATATTCTACGTTCACCTTACCTGTACAGTTGTAATTACCATTGCCCTCATAGCCCATGTTACAAGTACAATTATATGAACCATCAGTATTAGTACAATTTGCATTTACACCACAAGGATTTGGTTGACATTCATTTATATCTAGAAACATATTACAGATAACGTTGGCAAGGATTAAATTGAGTTTGATTTTGATAATCTGTACAAATCTTTTCTATACTTTTTCAAAAAGAAAATATTATTCATTATATAGTTATAACAAGCAGACTAGCTTAGCTGAGCATATGGTATGGTGAACATTTGTAAGTCGAAAAAGAATGTCAAATTTTGTTTATGCCGATATTCTACGTTCACCTTACCTGTACAGTTGTAATTACCATTGCCCTCATAGCCCATGTTACAAGTACAATTATATGAACCATCAGTATTAGTACAATTTGCATTTACACCACAGGGATTTGTTTGACATTCATTGATATCTAGAAACATATTACAGATAACGTTGGCAAGGATTAAATTGAGTTTGATTTTGATAATCTGTACCAATCTTCTCTATACTTTTCCCCAAAACAAAAGTATTAAATAACTGTTAACATGCTGAGTATAATTACAAATGAAAAAGAATCTAAAATCCTCTTTCCATTTTCAACTTAGGCATGTTGGAAGGAAAAGACTAACTCAAGGGTATATACAGCAACTATACTAGAGCAAACAAGCAAATGAGCTAGAGTAATCGTGTGAGCTAGGTAGCTGACGAGGAAGCAGCAGATAAATAGCACCTTTCGGAGAGATCCAAAGCCGAAAGAAAATCAATTTTGACAATGCATATAACAAATACAATTGTATGAACCATCGATATTGGTACAATCTGCATTTACATCACAAGGATTTGTTTGACATGCATTGATTTCTAGAAATATATTATAGATGACGTTTGAAAGATTACATTGAGTTTTATTTTGAAAAAAAAAATATTATTCATTATATAATTATTAACAACCAGACTTAGCTTAGTATATGGCATGGTGAACAATTGTAAATCAAAAAAGAATGTCAAATTTTGTTTATGCCGATATTCTACGTTCACCTTACCTGTACAGTTGTAATTACCATTGCCCTCATAGCCCATGTTACAAGTACAATTATATGAACCATCAGTATTAGTACAATTTGCATTTACACCACAAGGATTTGGTTGACATTCATTTATATCTAGAAACATATTACAGATAACGTTGGCAAGGATTAAATTGAGTTTGATTTTGATAATCTGTACAAATCTTTTCTATACTTTTTCAAAAAGAAAATATTATTCATTATATAATTATAACAAGCAGACTAGCTTAGCTGAGCATATGGTATGGTGAACATTTGTAAGTCGAAAAAGAATGTCAAATTTTGTTTATGCCGATATTCTACGTTCACCTTACCTGTACAGTTGTAATTACCATTGCCCTCATAGCCCATGTTACAAGTACAATTATATGAACCATCAGTATTAGTACAATTTGCATTTATACCACAAGGATTTGTTTGACATTCATTGATATCTAGAAACATATTACAGATAACGTTGGCAAGGATTAAATTGAGTTTGATTTTGATAATCTGTACAAATCTTCTCTATACTTTTCCCTAAAACAAAAGTATTAAATAACTGTTAACATGCTGAGTATAATTACAAATGAAACAGAATCTAAAATCCTTTTTCCATTTTCAACTTAGGCATGTTGGAAGGAAAAGACTAATTCATGGGTATATAAAGCAACTACTAGAGCAAAAAGCAAATTAGCTAGAGTATTCGTGTGAGCTAGGTAGCTGACGAGGAAGCTTCGGATAAATATAATAGCACCTTTCGTAGAGATCGAAAGCCGGAAGAAAATCAATTTTGACAATGCATATAACAAAAACTTTTGAATATGCCGATATTCTATTTTTACGTTACCTGTACAGTTATAACCATTGCCCTCATAGCCCATGTGACAAGTACAATTGTATGAACCATCATTATTGGTACAATTTGCATTTACATCACAAGGATTTATTTGACATGCTTTGATATCTAGAAATATATTATAGATGACGTTTGAAAGATTACATTGAGTTTTATTTTGAAAAAATATTATTCATTATATAATTATTAACAAGCAGACTTAGCTGAGTATATGGCATGGTGAGCAATTGTAAATCAAAAAAGAATGTAAAATTTTGTTTATGCCGATATCCTAGTATGTTCACTTTACCTGTACAGTTGTAACCATTGCCCTCATAGCCCATGTTACAAGTACAATTATATGAACCATCAGTGTTGGTGCAATTTGCATTTACATCACAACGATTTGTTTGACATTCATTTATATCTAGAAACATTTTACAGATAACGTTGGCAAGGATTAAATTCAGTTTGATTTTGATAATCGGTAGAAGTCTCTTCTATACTTTTTCAAAAAGAAAATATTATTCATTATATAATTATAACAAGCAGACT